CTATGACAAAGTCAGTTTGCTAAAACAATAGGTTATGTTTGGAGTAACCCAAATCATGACAGAAAACTACATGTATATGACAAAGCCAAGTGGCCTGATGTTTGCACAGGAGGTAATTTGCACTGTTAATAGCTATTTATAGAGCAGCAGCACCTTGGGCAACCAGTCAAGCTCAGCACACGTACTTGGTAGGCACTATACAAACATGAAATCTGATAGTCTCTTCCCTGCAGTGCACTCATACTTGGGATTTATGAAGACTGATTGTGTCAGTCACCATGCAATTTGGGAGCAGTCCTTTGCAGAATTATTTTCTCTGGTCATATTTGTGTAATAAATATTTTCCACATCAGTTCAATAGTCTACCTGGCTTATAAGATGGGAGATTTGTGTATTGGCGGAGGTGACCTACTTAAATCAGGAACAATTAAAGACCCGCTTCCTATTTACAGCCTTGACTAAGGAACCACACATACGCAAAAAATATCAAACAAGAAATCAGGAAATGTTTCTCAGTGCTACATTTCTGGTCATATGGGAGGGTCTATAGGGGGGATCAAAAAAGGCAGTGCTTGTGATTCTTTATTAGCAATGTAAATAGGACACATTTGGAGGCTGTCACCATCCCAATCACTCATCTGCTTTTATTAGTCTTCGTTCTTTATTCTTATTGTCTTTGGTTTTCAGCGCTTGTTAAGGTTAGTTATGCTATAGGCATCTGTTTAGCATACTCTATATGAAAATGCAAATGGAGATGAAAAACAATAAAATAAATATATGCAGTTTCCATATCACATATATATTTGACTGTAGCATGTCAAATACAAAAGAATTGTTTATCACTTCGAAAGTCTGCTTGTTTGTTACGTGCATTTCTTTTTTACCAGCAGATGGCAGCTTACCATTATTTTAAATAGGTTCCTTTGTTAATATCTGATATTTTTAAGTTCTATGTGGTTTGTAAAAAGCCTTGAGCCCATCTCAAACCTAATCTTTAATTCAATTTCCTTGTGCATCATCCACTCTAGAAAAAGTAATCTGGACTGAGCTATCCATTTCAGTTTACAACCCTGCTGTTGACTGAAGCTAAACATCATCTATAGAGTTACCTGACAGCAAGTTCAGCCAGCACCAGCAGGCATTATCCAGCCTGAAGCATTCACTGCTGCTACCAGCCCCCCTGAGGTCCACTTTACACTCCCTGACTCCCATCTGCACTGGGGGAATTGCAGACAACGTAATTAATACCAGTAGCAGTACACACATAAAGGATGTGACTGTACAAAGGGGCCCGTGGTTTATCTACCTCTGTGTCACTCGGGCACTGTCTGAATTTTAGATAACAAAGAGTTAAAACTATTGTCGTGGCAGCATGGGAGCTGCCTCCAGCACTTCAGCAAGGAGGACCATGGGCACAGGGAATCCGTGCCAGGAGACACAGCCTGCAGGGTGCTTCCAGAAACCCTGCTGCTGCCCAGGACCACCCCCAACCCAGTCAGAGGCACAACTACAAGACGATCCTGACTGGTCTCGCACAGGGCTGACAACAAGCGCTTTCGTGGTGAAAATTTCCAGCTCTGAATGCAAATAAAATGAAGGGATAGGTCTGTCAGTCACATGCTGCTTTAACACGGGCACCTATTTACCCTGGGCATTGCCTGACAGCCCTCACAGACACAGCATTACCAACCACATCCTAAAAGCAGGCACTGGGGAGAGACTAATGCACCAGAAGCCTCATTCTCCACTGAAACTGTGGCAACACTGCTCAGTCTGTGTGAGCGCAACTCCCCCCCGCCTCCTGCCCCAACGACTCCCTCCTCCGTGTCAATACCAGCATTCAGGCCAGCCCGATGAGGCTGGATTTGTTCCTCCTCCAACTCTGCAACTCACCACAGCACACAACTGCTCCTTTTGACAGCATCAGACACAGAGATCTTTAGAGGACTGAAGCAATCACATGGACCCCAGCTTCTTGCAGGAAAATGGCAAAGGAAGAGCAGAACTCCTCTCACCTTACACAACAGACACACCAGCCTAGCCTTTTGTGATGTGATGGTATGTCAGGCACATAGCCACTTCTGCCAGCTCTTCAGCCACTGAGCACGATGGTGGGTTGAAACAGGCTGCAGAGAGAACAGGAGTGGGAGGTAGGAAAGGGCTTCCCTCACCTGCCCACAGGCTGGGGACAGACTGGTTTTGTGGGATTTTGTTCCTTTGTTTTTTCATCTTGCTTGCATGGCAAACTGCCCTTTCCCTAGGGCTGCACAGGTCCTCTCAAGTCCTGCAACTTTTGAATTTACGCGTTCCTTGTATTCTCACGCTGAAGTGGCAAACAGGTTACAATATAGAGTTCGTTTTGCACCTGTTAAACAAATAAACAAATCTAAAAGTTCCTAAACAGCTACTAGTACTGCTACACACCAGCCTGTGGGCTATCTTGGGAATGCAGGAGGTTTTTTTTGTAAGCAGTCCCACTTAGCCTCTTTCTAATGATTTGCAGAGGGAGCGAGAAATTCACCAGTGCTAGTAAATTAGAAGCTGAAAACAACAAGTACCCAGATGCATTATACACATGGAGAAAGAAAGGTGAAAAACATGGGGAGGAGAAAGGAAACGTGACATTATTTGGGAAAATCAGGAGCCCCTTACACTGCAGGGAGTAATAGGACACACATGTACATGATACCAGGCACAGGCTGACTGGGGAAAGGGCCAGGGGAAGCGCCCACACTTCTGTGCCACTGGATCCTTTCACAAGATGGCCCCCATACAGATGGGGCTGGATCCACCTCAAAACCTACAAGGAGGAGCAACAGAATGGCAAACAGGAAAGGAAACTGCACTTTGAATATCACAAGAAACCACTGACACCAAGATGAATGATGTGCTGCCAAAAAGTTCATCATCTGGGACTTTTAAAGTTAGGCTGGACAAAATACTCAAAGATGTGCCAAAAGAGACAGCTCAGCACTATCAGGACTGACTAACAGGCTAATTCTGAAGATTCATGAAGATGCAGAACACTGGGTACCCATCATGAGGTCTGCATAGGCAGAGCTGTGCTTGTAAAATAAGACTGATAAAATTCCATCAGTCTTTTGTAGGAATATAGAGCAAATGCATGTATCACACAATGACTTTTAAGCCTTTCATAGTTCCTGAGACAATCATACAAGCAGAAAAGACATATCAGTCAACCTCTTTTCCATGTGCAACTGCATAGACAAGAAGGTGTCCAAGTGAACCTGAAACCATCCTATCAACTTCTGTTTCCAGCTGGGAATTACGTTAATATTCAAAATAGATTTAACATCAGTTATTACTCTGTTTGATTATTGCATTCCTAGGATAATGGATTTCAAAATTGTATTTTCCAGTTGATGATTAAAGAGCTACTTCTAGGCTTCCTACCTTCTTTAATAAAGTAAGATTCAATCTAGTCTCAAAAGTTGAACATTAATATAAAGGAGATTTGTTGTCATCTTAGTAAGTGTTAGCAGTAATCATTTAGCATTCCAATTACTTTCCCACCTAAATCTCATCTACTCACTTAGAGAAGCAAACTGGATTTCTTATACACGTCACCTTTATCTTGCAGGCACTCAGGGATATGTCCCAGTGTTGGACCTCAGCTTTTCTGCTCTGCCTGGCAGAGTGAAAGCAGGTTTGCGCCTGAGGGCAGAAGGAGGGCAGCTCTTCACGCCTGTGACACACAGGTACCCCCAGACCTGAGCAGCCTGCTCCCTCTCAGGGGAGGCGGTTGTGTTCAGGGGAAAACACAGCTGGCTCACTGCATGGTCGATGTAAAAATAGCACCTAGGAGCCAAATTTGATGCTGCAGTGTGTAGCCAGCATTGGAAAGCAACACACTTTCCTCCAGAGTGCAAGACAAGCAGGGATCCTTTTAACTGTCCGATCATGCACATCAGCAAGCAGTGGAAGTCCATTTAGCTAGCCTTGCACTTCTTCTATGCACATCATCACCTTTATGTTGCAGGGAAAGTCCCAGCACTTGCCTATGTCTATAGCGTACGTCCCCAGAAAGAGGGGCCGGGGGAAGGAGGAACAGAAGACATATCTCTTAGCAACGTGCAGAGCCGGGCCCTCTCAATCTCCCCTTGCAGAGCTGAGGTTAGCTCCTGGTCTTGCTACTGGTGAAAACCAAGGGAAAATCCCACATCCGATGAGAGTCTGGATCAAAACTATGCTCCATGGATTTTTTCTGGCACAGAGTGTTGCTTTATCTCAAAGTTGACCTTGCCAAAATGCGAGTTCTGATCACCACATGATACAGGACAGAGAATCTCTTAATTTACCCAGAATCTGCCTCTAGGCCAAGAGCACTCAGCCTCTTCATAATCTGCACTATGTCATATTAAAAGTTAAATCAACAGCAGGACTCAGCCTAGGTTTGCCACTCTCCAAATGTGCACTGCACAGGGAGGAAGGAAGAGTTGCAATCTGAGCCTAAAAGCCAGGGTGTGCATTTCCTCCCCACCGCCATCTTTCCCCCAGCTTTATGCCAAAAGCAGAGCAGCAACCAGGTGACCTTATCTGCTATCAGCACCTTCTGTTTTTCTGTGTTTCCTATCAGAACACAGAGAAGCCATGATGCTGAACAACTACAGAAGCTCACTTTGCACCAAGTTTTCCACCTCCCTTGTGAGGCATCATGCCAAACTCTTTGACACTTGAGTGATACGAAAAGCAGATGAAGGCTGATCAAAAACTGCAGTTTTGCCCATGATATGCAGCGAATGTATAATTAGAAATTAATATTTATGGACTATGTTCCTCTATCATAATTTTTCTGCCACAAAGTATCGCTACAATGTCACTTAGAAGACTAGAAGGGTTGAGGAGAAGTCTGAGTGGAGAAACATGGCAGGGAACAGAAGCAGATCAGAGCCTCACCATACTTGGCTCTGATGGGACAGTGGCCTGCAGGACAGGGACAGAGCAGCCCAAGGACAGGAGAGCTTCAGGACGTTAAGTACCTGGTGGCAGAGAGCTGGTGCAGCTGCAGCAACCAAGACAGGTTTGTCTTCATCTGCTGTGAGCAGGGCTGTGGGCTCCTTCCCGGTGGAGGCGGACGTGGGTCGGATCACGTGCGGCTGTGTCCCTGGAGTCTGGCTTCCTGCAGCATGCTCTGCAGAGGGCAGCAGCTCAGGAGCTGAAGCTAGTGAAAACAACTCAAGCCTCTCTCACGTCACATGTCTTACTGCATGTCCCTGCACAAGAGCTCTGCCTTTGCCTGTCGTTTTTTGGGTAAAGTCCTAGGCATGAGCCTGGCACCAAATAAAAAAAAAAAAAAATAAAAAAGAGCTTCTAAATAACTGGATGCTTTAAAATATTTGTATGATAGTGTGTGTAGCAAATCTGAGAATTTGAGAATTAAATGTATGGCAGAAGTTCACGATTTGACTGTGTGAAGGAGGCCACATCACATCAGAAGCCAATCTATGACTAAAATCAGGAACAAAACAAGACCTGGTCACCTACAGAATGGAGAACACCCTCAAGTCAAGCAAAGAGCTGAAACAAAAAGAACGATTTGTGTCAAATACCCTTTAGCTCCTGGCAGCACATAAACTCCAAAAGGCCAAACTTGCTTTTGTGGCAACTTTTCTCTGACTAAGAACTTGGTGTTTTAGTCCAGCATCTGAGGAGATCTTTGGACAAGCTGCATGCTGCTACATGTATATACTCTGCAATTCTACTTGGCTGGAGTGTTGGACAAATGCAAGATTAATTCTCCATCCAAGACTCATCTACTGTGGAACGTATGATAGAGCAAGTATACACTGGCTAGGTCATTGGGTTCTATAAAGTACAAGTGTGGCAAGGGTTACAAACAAAAGAAATTGCAGGACGTTATGGAGTTTCGTTTACAGCTTGTTTATTGAAAGTAAGGATACTTACCCTGGAGTAAATTTTGCTCAACAAAACTCAAAGTTTAAGTAAATGCAAATAGCCTACCATGAAAATGTGAAAAATAAACAAAATTTAATTTAATTTGAGCACCCAAGCAAGTCATTTGCAAGTCTTTTTAATGTTTAGGAAGAAGGCTTAGTTCAGTCTCTACAAATGGTTTTACTTACTTCTGTTACTTTCCATCTCTTGAGGATAATCTACTCCTAATAAGGACAATTGCTTAGATTTATTACCCCACTGAGGTCTCATTAAAGATCTAACAAAAATCCTATTTAAATGAAAGGACAATAGAATCTTTAAAGTCAGTGTAGAGTTTAATTAAAACCTGAAACAGAATCCATGTCTTCATGCGTAAGAAAAGCAAAAACAGATTTCAAAGCTGTTAAACTACATGTAATTGGCATAAACTATCCATTGAGCCAAAGTTAAAAAAAACGTAGGCTATCGCATGAAATTTGGAGTCTATTAATAAATAACAAACCTGATAGAAGTGCACGGCACCACTTTTTTGCATGCATTTTTTAATTTCCCTAATTTGCTACGCATATCTTAGAGCAAACATGAGACATACTAGCTGTTAAGTTGAACATATCCAAAAGGGACAAAAAAAGAGGCTGACTGAAATCAATGCATTAACATGCACCAGTATTTAAAAACGTTTCACGTTCCCAAAGAGAGCATGTAAACTGCAGCAATCTCAGTGCAAAACTGCTGTAATCTGTGTTCTCATGTAGTCATTATTCACACATAGGAGTATACAGTTCCTACAGTCATTTTTCATGCATGAATTCTTTAAAACCCCAAATCACTGACATAAATACACAAGGGGGACCTCCCTTTCAAAATTTAGCATTTTATGAACTCTGGAAGGGAACATGAAGATAAATGCCAGTCTGACACAGCTCTCCTGTAGGGGCCTGTGCAGCCCTCTGCAACTGCAGGCACACCAGAGCCTCCCTGGGCCAAGAGCCCCCAGCAGCCCCTCGGCCCACAGCTGCAGCGCCACAGTCAGCAGGCTCAGCACAGGCCAGAGCCGTGTCTTGCTCCTATCTCCCTTCCCCCTGCCACCATGCAACTGGGGCTGCACGTGTGAGGAAGGGAGGTCAGCCCGACAGCTGCTATGGGCATGCAATGTCCGCCTCAGGAGGTAATAAATTCTGAGGAAAAAAAAACAAAAACAAAACCAACAAACACGTTCATTTGCTTATTTCTGCATTAAATAAAAGCCACTTTTGCTTCTCTGCTTTTCCACGCGATGAAGGCCGATAGGCTGAGCAGGGACGGCACACGGACGGGCTGTGCTGAGGAGGCCCAGACAGGGGCGGCAAGAACAGCACGGCACGGCCAGCAGCGGGGAGCCGCAGCCCGAGGCGGGCCGTGAGTCCCTGCCGGGCAGCCCGGCGCCGCCTGCACGCCCCGGCCCCCGCGAGTCTGCCCAGCGCTACCGGCACCGGGCGCAGGGCACGGCCCCGCCGTCACCATGGCGGCTGCTGAGCCCGCCCCGCGGGACAGAGGCAAGATGGCGCCCGCTCCGCCCGTCTCGATGGCGACGGCCGCGGGAAGGGGGCGCAAGGAAATGGCGCCAGAGCCCGGCGGCCTGCGCAAGGCCCGGCCCCTCGGAGGGCTCCGAAACGCAGCCCGGGGACAGCGCCGCCCTTCTGCCAGCCCGGCAAGGCCGCCTCGGCCGCGGGAGCTGCCTTCGTAGCAGTTCGTACGCCTGGCTTAAGTAAAACAAAACAAACGCCAGCTCTTCCCGCGTACAGCTTTCTCAAGGCAGACGAGTGACGCTGGGGCGGGTTGGTGTAGCAAGGGGAGATGCCCAACGTGAGGCTGCTGTGGAAACCACATTAACAGGGCATGCAGCGCTCTTTTTAAATAAACGTGGTCTGAAGCCTTGTGTCAGAGGCTTTTGGAGATGTTTACAGCTGTTAGCCAGTACTTGGAATTATTACCAATTCCAGATAGTGGTAGAGAGCTCATTTCCCAGTGCATGCTCCTAGCAACTGACAATGTAAAGTTCACGCTACTCTTTTTGCAGCTCTTTCAGCAGAGACACAAACCCAGTGCTATTTCAAGGCCACATGTAAAGCTGCAAAGCTGTGATGAGATCTTGGAGCATCCCAAGCACTTTCAACTTTTCATGAGGCTACCGCACAGGACTACATCTTAGTAAGTTATTACCAAGACAGAAATAAAAAACACAATTGAAAAGACATTAATAGCTGCCAATGGCGATTCCAAGCAAGATTTAGGATCTCTATTTTGCTAGCATTGTGTTGTTCACTTGTCATATGCGTGAGCTTTAGTCTGCTTTGCTTTTTGCACACATCCACTTCTTCCTAGTAAGAACAGCACTGATAAGAGACAAGCTTCCTAAAGGGCTGGAGACAGGGTATAATCAGTCACCAGTTTTAAGTAATTTCACAGAACAACCCTACAGAACAACTGTGTTGGCACAACAGCTGGGGTGGCACAAGGCAGGAGCAGCACTCAGCCTCAAGTAGTGCCAGCCAGGTTTTCTGCTGGAACACATTTAACACAGAATTACACTCTCAGTGAGTACTTTCATTACTGGTTAGGTTCCAGTTTCTTCATGAGCATGTTCCAGTCACACTAACTTCTAAAAATAGCTGGCCGGTCAGCATAGTCTTGTCTAGCAATAGAAACCATGGCTTCATAACTGCATCTGCATTATGTTTGTTCACAGCAGAGAAAGGGCAAAATACAAGCAATGAGGGTGAAGAATGCCCATAACTTAGCATGTCTGCATTGCTCCAGAAGCCTCAGTACTCAGATGGTTCCTAAAGCTGTGCCTCTGGAGGTGGCAATACGTTGCCTGATAGTTTTTGTTTTCTTTTCTTTTTTAAGTTATGAGATGAATTGAATTAAAAGTCTTAGACCAGATGTTCCTCTCCGCAATAAAAGTTATGGGACAGGTTTCTTCATAAAAATATCCTGTGGGAGTCTTCCTTAACAATCTTACCTGATCTGCCCGTGCCTTCAGGGGAGCTGATTGATTCTCTTGAGCTGCTCTGCGGAGGCTGACACTCAACATGTGGCTGCTCTGAGTGCTTGCCTCGATCCACAACCTGTATCAGAGTATTTCCATGTCTGACAGCCGCTTTACCTATAGCCACAGTCACAGGTTTTCCAGTGAATACTTATAATGTAGCTTCAGCAGCTGACACTGTATCAGCCTAGCACTCCCAGAACATATAAAGGATATGGAGGAGTATGAAGAAGTGCTTTACTTCCTTCTCCACATCATCCCACCCCAGAAGAGGAAACGGTTTCTCATAGGCCTTCAAGTCAGCAAAAGGTGTGTCCTACAATTAACGTGCAACCCTCAACACCTCAATGCATAGTTGAACGTTTCAGTGCTAACACCTGAAACCTTGAAAGCAGAGGACATTTTAAAATCAACCTAAGAGTGACAAATAACCCAAAGAAGAGTATATAGCTACTCTGGAAAGCATTAATGCAGAGTAAATCTAGTCAACAGCAGAAATCAGAGTTACTCCTAATCTCTTCTGGTTTTCAAATTTGCTTTTCTGTTAGAAAGGCACTTCAGCACTTTAAGAACATGACCAATACTTGGAATTTACACACTTTCATAGAGCTCATGCATGCCCGAGTGAGCCTGACTGTGCTCCAGTGAGTGACCAGGCCTGTCCCACACCTGTTACAACTTACCCTTTTTGCAGGACCAGCACCCAATTTTCTCTTTTCTAAAGCTAAAACCAACCAACCAAAAACATAAAAGACAAGACAACATTAAAGAATAGTTAGCTCTTTTTGAGCTGAATTGGGATCCTGAATAAGCCAGTTTCTTCAGGTGAAAGCTTTTCCTTCTGACAAGCACACACACAGAATCCAGATTTCTAAGAGAAGGTATTATTAGAATCACAGGAGAGAATTACTCTTTAAACCATTAGAAGTCTGATGGGCTGGATGGACTAGACTAAATAGAAAAGTGTAAAAATGAACACCCCCCCCCCCTCCCTTTGGGTCAATGTAGGGTGAATCTTTGCATTTTTGCTTCCAATGTGAAAATTTCCAAGTGATTCACAGAGCACCACAGATACCACTCAACCTTCTTGAGGGAACTCTTTATTTTTCTGTCACTTAAAAAGCTTGGGTCTAACCTCATGCAATTCCCCAGCTCCTCCACAATGCTGCCTACATGATCTTGGCTCACTGCACTTTCCTTCTCCAACCCATTTGGGAGTGCCAGATGTTCCCTCCCCTAAGCATTACTCAGTTCCTCTCAGAGCAGCAGACATCTGCCTCTCCCTCCTGCAATTCAGAATATAGGAGGTGAACGGGCATTCTCCTTGCAGTCTGCCTCTCCATGCCCTACCAAAGTCCCAGCAACACAGTAGTGGAACAGGCAGTACTTCTGCAGTGAACTGAGCATGCACACTGAACGCTCATCACATCACAAACAGGTAGAATTCAAGATTCTTTTTACATGAGGAGCAACTGAAGTATGACTTGGGTTTTTATTTGAACCAATACTTTTTGTTTATATAGACTGTAAAAAGTCCTGTTTTCTTGAGCTTTTTTTTTTTTTTTTTAAAGCAGGATGTATTTTTTTGCTCAAAATTCATAGAGGTGCACTCAACCATACTAAACAAAAACACTTTCAGCATTTTATAGTGACACCAAAAGTAACCCACCTAATGACTAGTCCCCTTTACCACCACCTTACTTTCCCCACTATTGCTCAGTAGTGTTCCATTTCACAGGCAATTACATGCAGATACACCCAGCTAATAAAACAAAATGCACTGAAACCTCTACCCAACTTTGCATCTACTTAAACTGACAGTGAAGCCATACAGTATGCTAGGAACTATCTTTAAGTATTCTCAAGTAAATACAATTAAATTTAAATAAAATCCACAAATCATAACAAAGTTTACAGCAGGTCCTAAGTGAGTGTTGAGACAATAAATTAATACCTTGTTTCTTTTCAGTTTACTACTTGTTTTGTTCTATGTTTAACTACTGAAGAATGCTAGCAAGAAAAACAGTTTTGTTTTTCTTTTAGTGTTCTTCCAGGCACCATAAGGCAGTCATTCTTCAGCAAAACTTCTGCAGAAGCACATTCTGTGGATAGGATGAATTTTAAAAGGGTGACCAGATGGTGGCACAGTAAATGCCCTTCGTTTGAAGGGTTGCATGTGCACATTAGAAACGTGCCTTGTTTTCCATATGCATATAAGAGAGGGTTAGACGCACACACTTCTCCTCACACAGACCAATGACTTCCCAAAACATTTGTCAACAGAGTATTTACTACCAAATCCAGGATTCTAACACTGTCCCCATTAATGAGAAAAAAATGTCACTGTACAAAAGCTTTTTTCCCCCTACTCTTTCTTATCAAATCCTTCAAACAGCTAACTAGCTTTTATAGATTGTAAAATCAGATAGAATTATATTATTTTACTAAAACCCCAGGGGTCAACTTATCACCTGAAAACCAGTTTACATGGACAACTTGACTTTCATGTGGAGTGTCAGAACATACCCTAGAAGTGAATCTAAAATAAATTATATAGAATATTGCCTTATTTGTGCTGAAATTTATTGGTCCCACACTGCAATAATTTTGAAAACTGTATCCCTTAAGCTACAGTGCTGAAATATTATTAACTGCTTGAACTGATAGAGCATTTCTGATTGGCTGCTATAAACTCTATGGACAGAGACTAATTTCAATTGAATCACATGCTTATCTGAAACCATTTTCCACCATTTCAAGCAGCCAACTTTATTTTCTTCCAGAATATACTGTCCATTTTATTACCATCATCCTCAGTATACACTGTCATTTCTGTAAATCTGTTCCAGAAACTAAGAATGTATCTAAGCTTCTGCTAATATGGTTGTCTGAAACAATCACACCCAGGAGAGAGATCCACTTGTACCTCTTATCTTCCTAAAACAGGTTATTTTCCTCACTAAGCAAGCCTCCAGTCTCTGAAATGCCATTAATCACTTTCTTTCTTTCATTTTTTCTACTGCCATCCTTTTGAATTAAAATTATTTTGATAATGTGGTGATGCGTTAGTGAATGCTGTTTCTACACCTATCAGTATGATTGTAAGAAACCACCCAACTAATTTCAGAACCCAAAATCTTTTTAACTGAGGAGATACTGAAAATGTTGTCAATGATCCAGCTTCTTGGAGCAGAAATTTCCAACTAGGCAGAAAAACCTCCTCCAGGCATAACTTGTAAGACACTAGAATGGTGCCATGGGATAAAATCTTTTTATTTCCTGCACACAGTAACCTAAGAAGTCTGAACGACAAAAGCTACAATATTTTATCACAATCATGAAACAAAACCAAAACAAACAAAAAACACTCACCTTTGGAAATCCTAGTAATAAACTCTATTGACTCACTTCCACTCAGATGAATTAATAACACTTATAAACCAAAATAAATTGCTAAGAAAGAAGTTCTTACCTCAATATATACCAGTTTCTAAACAGCACTACCCACACTTTTCCTTTACTAAGCTGCATCAAGCCTCTTCAGGCAGCATTCAGGCTAATGACAATTCGCTATGGCTAGTCAGTCCCTCTGAGCAGACAACCCATAGCTCCTGGCAATGGCATACATCTCAGTAAGGCCTCTGCCTAGCAAAAATTTGAAAAACAAAATTTGGCAACCTTAGGGAGACATTTCCTTCTCTTCCAAACCCTTTATTACCTGGCTCCCTAACATCCTTCTTTTATGTTAGGATGTATCTAAGAAATAGCAGGAGCCTGTCAATAAACAAATACTCCATGGCAAAGTCCCAGTCCTAGCCCTGCAGGAAGGGAAGTGGCAAGCTGTTGACTGGAGCTCCATGTTGACTTCCTCTCACACTACACAACTTCCTGAGGATACTCCTCATAAACTTTAAGCTTTGGAACACTTAATTTTTGTTTTGGCCAAGCACTTCAATTGGCCAGTGGTGGCCTATGATGGGCAGTAATTTTAGAAGCATGAAGCATCTTTAGTAAAATGGAAAACCTGGAGGAAACTATTTGGGACAGTAAAACTAATATTCCCATGTCTGCCTTAATTATATCCTACCACTTACTGAAGTGACTAGAGCAAGTTAGCAGGACTCTTTCTGTCTTATCTAAACAAGAGAAGTTCCCTCACACCACACATTCACAGTACTGAAGAAGAAGTATAGAAATTGCCCTTGCCCACTTGTATTAACAAAATATTCTGAGAATTTGTAAGTGCTTAAACAGCTAAGATAAATGTTTTGGAATCTATTTTTAAAAAATGATAGCTTAATTAGCCCAAAAGCAGAGATGCACAATTTCATAGTGGGTACAGCTGATAAGAGACCAAGTATAGCTGGAAGCATGATCAGATGTCAACATGCAGCAGGCTAAAAAAGTTACACAAGCTGACCTTAATACATGTGACTATCAGATTTTCACTGTAGAAATTCACATTTTTCTATATCCTTTTCCTTTTCTGAGCTGAAATCATGTCATTTATATGGAAATCAGACTATATTCTGCAGCTGTTTCTTCTCTGCTGAAGTCATGGGAATTATTTGCACTTAATAAAGCCTCATAAATAGTTTTTGCCTCTAAGTGGGTGGGGGAGCAGCAAACAGATCATAGTCATTTACAGTTACAAGCATCTTCTTTATTTTGAAAGTTATGTGCATCCTTTAATAGGAAGTTTCACAGTTATGAAAGAAGCGTTGTTTCATTTATACAAACAAAATACTACCAGCCTCCGAAACGTTTTGCATTTTTCCCTGTGCTCAGCTATCTGAAATAAAAAAAATTGCCATGTAGCATGAACCAAAAGGATAGTCTATGTAATCATTACATGCTAGCTCCATGTACTATGTTCAATATACGAAACAAACAAACAAAAAACTAATTAGCATTTCTAGGCCCTTTAACTGTATTTGAAAGAACATGTATCTGTTTTATACCAAGCATGCCTACCTAGTGTAATGCCAATTTAATCTACTGCATTTCTGTGAAATATGTAAGATTTTCACACACCACTGCCCAGACAGGTCTCCCCAAAAGTGCTGGCATGTTTAAAACCTGCAGGAAGACAGACTCAGTTACAACCAAAGCAATCCCACAGGACCAGAAAGTAAGTGTAGCTGTAAGTGTGTCAGTTAGCATACTAAAGTGAATTGGGAAGCAGCTCTTCCTAACTGGTATAAAAAGCCTGTATTAGGACCTCTCATTAAGAGCAGCACATGCAGTGCAGGACTGCAGGTTAACAGCAGCACAGCTTTTCCAGTCACTTCACAACCACAGCAAAGCAGAACCGTGAACAGTGATCAGGATCACCTAGAGCAGCATCAAATACTTCCTGTCCCCAAGGGCCCACATTACTTATGAGGATACAGCCTAAATCTTCATCTCAAATACCTGCTAAGAGCACATAGAGACCAGGAGTTACATCACTGGCAGGCAGGAGATGGCTTAATGGGATACAATTTTCTCTCATATTGGTTTAAAGAACAAAGAATGGCAACATGGTTAAACAGGGGTGACCCTTATTCTCAGCTGTACAGCGATGGTCAATAAACCTATTGCCCCTTTTCTCACTCTTTCAGCCTGAGTTGAATTTCATAACTACAAACTATCACAAGGTATATACCTCAGTTTATTTTCATGTCAGCCTTCAGTGTGTTTTAGTTCTCTACAGGAAGTGAATTTCACTTTGTGAGTACCACCTCCTTTTTTAATTCCTTGTTAAGCAGACGAGCTAGGAAAAAAAAAAAAAAGGCACTCATGGATCTCGTTTCATGGATACCATTTAAAGATTGTCAGTAGAACAACTGACATGATACTGCTCTCTTGTTTCTACATATAAAGCAGAAGGGGTGAAGTAAAGAGGTAAAGCATGATACCATTTCTTTTAGAAAAGAGACCATTGATTCTGTCATGATGATGCCCTAGAGTAATCATTTATGCTCTACAAAATGACTGATTTTTAACTATTTTTCAGATGCATATTGATTCTATACAGCAATTTGTGTTTAAACTTTATTATTGTGTTGACTGCCTTTAAGAGCACCAACTTGTGTAACTCACGCAACTGTTCTGTGAAGGTACATCTTAGCAAAAATACATTCCAAACTGTCATGATTATCTTAATAATTACTGCAACATTTAGGCCACTGAAGTGCTCAAATACATGAAGGAAGTCTATGTAACCAAAATGAGCATGAGACAAGCTGCATACAATTGTCACTATACATTTACAGTATTCCATATGCTATAAACTTACCTTATACATAAACATGTCTGGCAACATGTTTAAACACTATATGTAATTTTCTTCTAACAATTTTTGATGATCATGTTTTTTCAGTGCATATTGTATTTTCTTCAAGCACAGATACAGTTGACCTTAGTTTATATTTTGAAACCAGTATGTGTGATAGGACAAAGAAGCATATAAGGAAGTTGAAATTAAATTAAAAGCAGGTATGAGCATGTATTTTATTACAGAGAGTCAGACAAGTAAGATGGTAAAATCTGACTTCTTGTCACATTGAATTTTCTTTCACTATTCCATTATGGGAAACAGTATTTTTGCAAAGTATATTTTATAGAATCATCCCCAGACTAAAGTCTATGACATTCTGAAAGAATTACTTATACAATCCCACTGATTCAAACTCAAGCTGCTTATTTAACATTGCAACTCTATGCAGAATTAAAAACAAAAAACTAAAACCAACAGGATCCCTTCAGACTTTAACAATGTTTTTATGTATTTAAGTCTGTATTTCATCTATTGGTAGTAGCTTAGTGAAACCGTGTTATGTTAACTGGTTGAATTTAATTAGTACATTCTATCATCTGGGTAGCACCTGAAAGGAAGTTGAATGCAGCAGCATTTGTGGAGCACAGCCCTCTTTTGCTGTACAGAAGAAACAAGGCTATTCAACATAGAAAAGTAGGATCCTTATGTGGGTAAAAGAACCCAGGCATCTCATTTGCACAAGAAAAGCCATATTCAGAGAGCCTGGCTGTGAATTTACAGCACAACAGCTTCTCCACCCTAACTGTGTGTGGTCACTTTCATCATAACATAATTTGATGAGTTCCACCAGAAAGCAATCCAGCCCACTTACAATCTGAATCCTCTTCTGACAGTGTCTGCCTCTTTCTAGTGACTACACAGGGAGTCCACGTAAACTAGGTTTATCTCTTAAGATGATTCTGTTAAATGACTAAAATTAGACAGCTCTTAACAGCTATGTCTATATTTACCTTTTGGGGCATGACTTCAGATTTTGTTCCCCTGACCATTTATATCAAGCACCCGTGCAGAAACACCACAGTTCCTGCCTGGGAGCCATGTAATTTCTATTTGTATAGAAATCAGAAATGGTGGTTGGCAGGAGGTAAACTGCATTCTTAAATGAGACAGAACTCAGATGTGACTAGGAGGTGCATGACTAGGACTGCTGGGCTAAACAGCAGTAGCATAGTAATTGTGAGTACCTTACCTTGGGAGTTTAATTAAAAACAAACAAACAGCAACAAAAACCTAGTATGGTTATCACTTTTTATCTTTAAACTATAACGATTTGAAAAATGGAACAATGAGAAAACAAACATTATCATATGAAAAATACTTCCTTCTCTTGAGATAGAGAACACTTTAGCGTCTTTAAGAACTACTAAATTGGTTTACTGAAAATGATTTAGACTTGAACAAGTCATAGAGCTAATATGAATAATGAAGTAAACCAACATCAAATAAAGCACTTATTTCCAAAAAAATGTTTTTCAACATTACTGTAAAGATATTGCAGTTTTCAAAGACGTATGTTCTGAAATCTGTGAAATGTTTTCAGGAACAACAGCATGTTTTTACATCCTATATCAAAGTTGGAAAACTACCGGTTTCTTGTGAAAAACAGAGTCAGGAATTGATCTTATAAACCATCTGCAAAGTACTCCAAATAGTCTGAAAGTACTGAAATGCGTTTACTATCATGTGTTCTGCCTATGGATGAAAATGGAAATAAAAGCCTTTTAAAATCAACTGAAGGAAAAAACTTGAATACAGCATCAGAGAATTAATCAGCTTCAACCTTCATGAAATCAAACAATAACTACTGAACTCTTCCATTTGAAAATATTTTAATTGGAAGATAAAATATTTGCAAGGATAATTTTCTTTGAAGTAACAATCTAAATATAAGCCTATAAACTAAGCTAAGAATAAGTGGATATATTTAGATTATACTAAAAATTGAAGCAAAAGTGGCAAGTTAGTTACATTATGTAACAAAACTTTAAGTTGTAACATTAAGTTACAAAACTTTCCATTTTTCTCTGAAACATTCTGGTAATACGCTCTCAGTGCAGAAATGAGGCCAAAGACCATCCCCAATCTGAAAAAATACTTTAGTACCGAGAAACAAATACCCTATTCATTTTTATGAAGACATAAGCATGACCACTACAGTCACCGTCTCACAGTTCTGAGCATTTAAAAGGAGCTTCATGCAGGCAAGCCCTAAAAAGTGTAGCACCTGCTATCAGAAGCACATTCAGATTGCTGGTGAGATCTGAACAACTGGTATAGAAGCAAGGTTTTGAAAAGTCACAGGTTGTATCACTACAAGATTACACAAATTATATATAATCACAAAATTATACAAATCATTTCATTCTCCTGCCCCTCTTATTATAACTCCATAATTGAAGCTCAGCTTTGTATTGCTATGTATTGCTATGCCCTTATCAAATCTGAAGAAACTGAAGAACAGCCCAATTAGTTGTTGCAAGGTAACACCCCACAGAACAGCAGGATACAAGGGCAATTAAAGAATGCTACATAATAGGAACTATAAATTTGTGGGGAAAACAAACAAAGCAACCTCATTTCAGGCAGCAAGGTTGGGTTCTTAAACACAGGCAGGAAGTGCCTGTAGACACCATAGAGTACCTGGAACACCTTCATGTGGGAGATCTGTGCTCTTCAGATGCAGCTGAAGGAAGATTCTCTAAGGCATCAAAAATGAAACTTGGCACCTGTATCTAGGTAGTCAAACCACTCCTCAGCAGCTTGTCTGTAAAAAGATGCTTGATTTGGAAGATGAGGAACACTAAGTCTGCTGTCCTCTGTTTTAGCAGGAAGGAAACTTGCAAAAACAATCATGGGATAAGAAAGGAAACTCAAAAATGAAAAGTTCCTGTTACTACCTCCCAGTTCTTCAAACCATGAAAGGGACTAACACCAGAATTGACAATGGGAGTGAGCTAGCAATGAGCCTGTTCAGGCACAAAGAGGTCTAACATAATACTAACTTACAGATGCAGTGAAATATTTGAGGTACACCAAAGTGAGTCATAAACTTGGGCCTGCTGGAATTTGCATAGTCAAAAAGTTATGGACCAGTTGAGTGAGACTACTTGCACTTGACCATTCTTTTATAAGGAAAGAGTTATATCTAAAAGCAAATCAAAGGTGTAAGGAATACAACACTGGAATAAAGTAACATATTAACCAAGAAACATACAACCATGTAGTATAGCAAAACAGTTGTATTTGGTTGCACCTCAAACAATGTTGCAAGAACAAACAGCTAGGTTGCCATGTGTGATTTTAACATTTCAATTCTACACAGTTTTAATAATTAACAAGTGAAATTTAATATTATCTTCTTATGGATTTTAGGTAATATTATATATTTTTCTATCCATTGAACTTGTAAGGTCTACTGTTCAAACACTACAGCTGTAAGAAGATTGCTAAATCCAATACTTGGTTGTCTAAGTTTGTACAGGGGTGCATACATGTACATTTTTTGACCTCAAGTATTAAAGTGAACAGCTAAACACAACTTTAGAATATTGTTTATAGACATTAAACAATTGTTTTACTGAGATCCTGGGAACACATTTGCATGAAGGAAGTTGCACTTTTTTTATCAACCAGTTGACAGCACTGTCAGAAGGAATATAGTCTAGAATAACTGACCATTCTACTAGAACTTACTTGGTTTTAAATCTAATTATTTTACAGAATTATTATTATGTAAAAATCAGCATTAGAAAAACTGACAGACATAACCAAAAAGCTTTAAGAAATTTTTGAGGAAAAGAATCTTTCGTTCATTTAAACAGTACTTAGAAGTAGGAAACATAATAGACAGCTTACTGTCTCTTATGTGATTTTTACTTTGTCTGTAGAAACACCCTCAGCCTGAGAACTCTTTTGACTCGTTTCTATATTTTTCTTTGCAATCCTGAAAACAACAAGGTCAACAAAGATGTAAGCAATTTCAAAACGAGATAACATACCCAGAATTCCATTAATTATATATCAACTTTTTTTTTTTTTTAAATAAACAAAACAAAACACAACTATCTACTCTATGCAGCAATCCCACTATTGGTAAATAGTTAACACAACAGAAAATAAATTCTCTTAACAGCATTCAAAGGCTTCATTCTGGAATAATGGATAACATTTTTTTCAGCACTTACAATATATTTTTACAGTATATCATCAGTTTTTAGTTTTTTATACAGTTTTACAGTATATCATCAAATAGTCCAAGTAAAGGCTTGACATCACTGATTTCATCATCCACATCCAGAAGATATCTAATGAAGAGTAAGCGAGAAACAAACAAATAAATTAGGTATAATATATCAAAATCTATGAAATCAGGAGCACTATGCAAACTATATCCAAAAGACATCAAGACAAACAAAATAGTTGTTTTTTCCTTCCTAAGAAAAGTTAACTGCTACTACTAACTGTGCAAATTCATCTTTTAAAAACACAGTTGTAATAAATTAATGAATTGCCACAAAGAACTAAACACCTGAACACTGGGGCAACAGAAAAAACTCACATAGCTTTTCATTACCTGGGCTCTATTTCTTCTTCCTGTTCTTTTGTGAAAAAAAAATCTTCTTTCCTAGTGAATTTAAAAGAGTCTGAGATTGCTTTTGAGATTGAAGAACACTGTATATTTTTCAGCTCTTGTGAAGGATTTGAATGCTTTTCTTCTTGAAAACTCAGCTGCAAGACAAACATTAAAATAATGGTTAAAATAACTAACTGAAAGACAAACTTCCATTATTGTAGTATGTAGGATAGATATTTACATCGGTATTAACGTAATTGACAAGGCTTTAAGCACACAATAAATATATGCTTGGATGACTTTGCAGAACTGCGGCTTTTGAATAGATATTTTCAAAAATCATTCTATATAAAGTGAATTCACAGGTGAAAGCTTCTGTAGTTCTGGTGAACTCAAGTCCTATCTGTCTGAATCATGACCATCACACTGAACACACAATGCATGTTTCTTCCACATTTGGACAACTCAGAGAGATTCAGAAACTCTCTCTGTCTGAAATGATGCATATGTCAGATATGATAAGTATATTTGCTCATGAAAGACTAATATAATTATAGGTGATCATGTTATAATAATATTTTTACTCACCGTATTTATATATCCACTCTGTACAGGTAATTCCACTTTTGATGAGCTATTAAGCACAGAAAAGAACGGGTTCTGACTACTGGTCTCACCTTGTAATGTGCAAGAACTGAAAATATGAAGTTGAATAATATAAGTATTATTTACAGCAGTGCAAAGTGGTTTACTTTTTAGTTCAGGACTTTCCCCCTACACTTAAATAATTTCAAACTATTTAACAATTCTATTTTTTTAAGTTGAAATTTCACTCTATTTTACCAGTGAACAACCTTCTATACATTTAGTTATACATACAAACATATAAATGTGAATGCAAATACATGTAAAATATAGCCAATATTTTGTAACAATAAAATTGCAATTAATGATATAATGCTTACCCTTTTGAAATGTCACTTGTAGCTTTGCTTGTTGCATACTTGCAACGTGTTTCATGCTCATCTGGAATGTGAAGGCAGGTATTTCCATGGTCTATGTAAAAATGATTTATTTTTTTTCTTAAAAGTCAGAAACAGCCTAAAGACACTGCAAATATTTTACACAGTATCATCGATGATAGTTTGAAAAGCTGATATCCACGCTGCAGCCCATAGAGGAGCCCATGGCACAGGAGGTGGATGCAGCCTGGAGGAGGCTGCGGCCCATTGAGGAGCCCCCACAGGAGTGGGCCCCGGGCCAGAGCTGCAGCCCATGGAGAGGAACCCACATGGGAGCAGAGGGTCTGGGGGGAGCTGCCCCTGATGGACAGACCCCATGGTATGGACCCATGTTGGAGCAGTTCTTGAAGAGCTGCTGCCTGTGGGAAGTCCACGCATGATCAGTTCGGGAAGGATGACATCCCATGGGAGGGACCCCACATGCAGCAGGGGCAGAGAGTGACTGTGATGGAGCAGTGGAGACGAAGTGCTAGGGACTAACCACAGACCTCATTCCCCCACACTGCTAGTGAGGAGTAGGTAGAATAGGGTAAATGGGACAAAGGTGTTTTTAGTTTGATTTTAGTTCTCACTGCTGTAGTCTGTTATCAATAGGTAAAAAATTACATTATTTGTCCTGAATCTGTTTTGCAAGTGACATAACTGGTGAGTGACCTCCCTTGTTCTTATCCCAACTCACGAGCTTGTTTTCATCATATTTTCTCCCCCTTTTCTATGGAGGAGCAGGAGTGAGAGAGTAGCGTGGAAGAACTGTCAGGGTTAAACCACCGCAACCCTGTAAAATAATTTGTATACAGTACAGAATTTATTTTATTAAAACAATCTTACCTAATTCTCCACTGGAAAAGTCACTAGCATATACTAATATTTCATCATCAAGATCATTCCAAATGTCCTCTCTCAGTTCAGAGTTCACATCTGAAGCACCTGAAAAAAAAAGCATCTGCTTTTATCTCTGTTAGTCAAGTTATGCATTGAAGATTCTTTAAGATATTTTTTGATGCCATTTTCTCTTGGCTTTTCTCACTTACAAATACTGAATGATTCAAAGAGAAAGCTGTAATCCATGGACAAGGACAACAAAAACTTCTGTGTTTTAAGACCAGTTGTTCAATCTACTGAAAGAATGATTGTCACATATGCACTCTTTTCTGTGTTATTTTGAGAAAAGTTATCCTCACTGTAGATTCTAGTGAATAAGCCTTAAAAAAAATAAAACTTTTCAAATACCACAATTTCGTTCTTTTCCTTTGTCAGAAGTATTAGAACCCAGATTTAAGACTTTTAATTTGGTCCTTTCTTCCCTTCAGATCTCCAAAAGCCTAACTCTTCCTCTCGTCCAATCCAATGCCTAAGAACTAGCCATGTGTGGTGGTTTTACCATGCTAGGCAGCTAAATACCACAACCGCTCTCTCACTCCCCCTCCTTAGATGAGGAGGGGAAGAAGTAAAGTAAAGAACAACTCATAGGTTGAGATAAGGATTATTTAATTAAAGGGGAAAAATAATAATTATTAAGGAAAGATTATTATTAACCAAACAATTTAACTAAAGGGGAAAAAAAGGGGGGGAAGGGGAAAAGGGAGGGGGAAAGGGAAAACAAAACAAAACAAAACAAATAAAGGTTATGTGGAAGTGCAGAGGAAAGAAATTACTCTCTACTTCCCACCAACGAGCGATGCTTGACCACGTCCTTGAAGCAGGGCCTCAACACATGTGGTCAGTGTTCGGGAGGAGGCCCGACATTTTCACGAGAGCCCACCCCTCCTCTCTTCCTCCTGTTTCCACCTTTTATTGCTGAGTGTGACATCATATGGTATGGAATATCCCTTTGGCTGGTTTAGGTCAGCTGTCCTGGTGATGTTTCTCTTCTCACTTTTTGCCCACCCCCTAGGAGGTTAGAGAGAGTCCTGATGCTGTTCCAGCACTGCTCAGCAGCAGACACAACACTGGTGTGATCCCACTGCTGTTCTAGTGCCAAGTGCAGAGCACAGCACTGTATGGGCTGCTGCAGGGAAAGTTAACATCCCAGCCAGACCCAGTACACCATGACAAATACATTTTCAAGCACTATTGTTAACATTCTTAACTAAAGTGCAATACTTAATGTTTTAAAGTACTTTATTTTCTGGTGCAAAGACAATTTCTCTCACTTTCTCTCCCTTTCATTTGTTGTGTTCTTTCTTCACTACCAATCTAATTCTTTGCTGATTTTTTTTAATCTCTCTTCTGCCATACTCCCCCTCCAGCACCAGACAAGTGCCACAGCCCTAATGTCTGAGGAACCCTGATCTAGATTTCCCTTTCAACAGAGGGAAAGCAGGACAGGCTCGAATCAAAGATCCACTTCCACAGTGGCAGGAAGAAGCACTTTGAAGGCACTTCTATTGTAAATTTGGGTGTGTAAATTTGTAAATTTGGGTGTGTACAGTCAGCATGGTGCATTATTACAGACATGCACACACTTTAAAATACCTGAACCATAGGCTTAGATCACTACATTTCACAGTATATTCTCAACTCCTTGCATTTATTCATATAGCATGGAAAGACATCGTATCACAGATGCAGATAACCCTATATAAATCATAGAATTTGACACCTTTTTTCATTAGAACTATTTTGGTTGCATTTTTAAAGTGTAGCTGGCCCAGTCAATATGGCCAAGATTACCTCTTCTGGTACTATCCAGTTACATCTATCATGTCCCCTTGACGCCAGAGGATTTGCCTTAAGATTTCTTCAGCATAGAGTATAGCTATACTGGAATATGGTTTAGTGGGGACTGTTAGTGTTAGGTTAGAGGTTGGACTCGATGATCTTGAGGTCTCTTCCAACCTAGAAATTCTGTGATTCTGTGATTCTGTGAATATTCACCTATCTTCCTGTGAATGTATTGTTATACACAGTTATATTGTATACTAACTGACTCACACAGAGCAACTGATAATATGGTTATGCAACAGTCTTTCATCTTAAGACTAAGTAACAAATATAGCAGATAAATGAGTATGGCAGGAAAATCTGAAGTATAAATTGAAAGGAACAGGGTTGCAATCCCACCTTCAGAGTATTAAGTAAAAATGAAATGATGCAGTATAGATGCAACCACTTAAGGAAATACAAGCTAAAAATATATCAGTTTATCTCAGTAGTGTTTCTTATGTGTCTGAATAGGTTCTAAACATTGATGTTGCTACTTGTTTAGCCAAAAGCTTGTATAATCAAAACCTGATTCACATAAATTTACAGTAACCAAATACAACAGCAAAGAACATGCAGTGAGGAGAATATCATGGTTACATACTGATAATAAAGACTGATCATTTAACCACAAATGTAAAACCTTAATGTCATTTCACTGCCAGAGAAATAGAACAAAGAAATGTTTTTTCAGATAGAAGTATTTTCTAGTTACGAACTCAGTTATTGAACGGTCATATTTTGTTAACCATCAAACAAAAAGCTCTTATTTCACTAACTTCTTTCAGTAGATATGAAGTTAAGAAGAAATGGTAAGTAGGAGGAAAGTTCCTTTTGCATTACAAGTGGCTTCAGTGGAAATATATTAAAGGAAGTATTTACAGATTTGTACCCTCATATATTTGAATTTACTCATTACTGGTTTATATAAAAATACATGTACAGGCTTAGATCTGCATTTGCAATTCTTACTGATACCAGAAAGAAAGCCAATGAAGGCCACTGTATTTCCCTATACATTCAGCATTCTATAATGCTGTATTGTTTACTGTGGTGATTTCAAAAAGTTTGAGTTTATAATGTACGTACAACTCGAAACAGTGAAAATGATGATTTCAAATATTAGTAATAACTTACTACTCTTTCCGTAATTCCAGGATTGCAGTTGTTTCTGAGATATTCCTAGGCTATTAACATTATCTACCAGGTCCACTGGAGGTGACGAAGACAACTGTTTATTGCCAGACCTATTTAAAAAAAAAAAGTTGCATGTCACTAAAACAGTTGAAGAAAGCTGCAACAAAAATGATTTTATTCAGAAAACAGTTGTTAGTTGTGAAAATTTAACATAATACCTAAATTAGAATATATATATATATTTAATAAATACCTTGACAACGCTGGCATCAAGGATTTGGATGCAAAACCAAAATGTTTGAGATCCACATTCTGAGCTTGATTTAACATCTGCATCTAAAGAAAGCAGGTTATTAACCAAAAAGACAAACATTAAAAGGCACTTTTTAAAATTATCTGACTTATATTATTAATATTGTAACAAGATAGCATATTTTAAAAAATCACTTAAAAAACACTTTAAAAAATCATTACAAAAAAAATCATTTTAAAATTCATTAAAAAAAAAGTTCTTGAGATCCATTAAAAAGATTTGAATTACATGCTTCTACTGTAGTTATCCAAGTAGCCTGGCAAAGTCAGTCCAGGTATCACTGACTTTCTTCTATATTAGCTGTAGGCTATATTATTCTCCATTGCAAAGAAACAAACAAAAAAGCTGTGAATAGTAAATAAAACACTCCAATATCTCAAATATCATTCTCTCTGTAGAGGACATCCATTTGGTATTACATTCAAATATGTAAAGTGTAAGCCTTTAAATCTTTCAGAGGTAAAAACCAATGTAGTTTATTTTCTCATAAACAAGTGGATCTCTGTGTCAACACAAACAGATCTCCTAGTAGCATTACTTTGATGTATACCAGCTTTTGGTTTTGTTCAGGTCGTATTTTGCCAAAATCAAATCACAATACAGTGCCTTCCAATGATGCCTCTGTCCTTAACCTACTATGATCTATGAAACGCCATAAAAGTAAAAACAAAGAGAAGCGTACCGTTGGAAGCCTTCTAAACAGCAGTGTAACCTGTCAAAGATTCCTGGACCTTTCTATTTCTTTGCTTCTCACGGTCCATACAAACTTGCATGTATTTATTTACCTATGAATTGCTCAAACAAATACTGCAAACAAATATATACAAATACATAATGAAATAAAATAAAATTATTCAAATGCTGACTGTATTCAAACAAACCTTTAATCGCTTTACTGGGGGTACAGATGAAGTTGAGTTCCTGCTCCTTAAATCAGCTAAGTACAAAGTAAACTTAGAATCTCCATTCATCTCAGACTTTGGAGGTACTCCAGTTTTACCTGATAAAGGGAATTCAAAGAATCTTCAGATTAGTTTAGAAAGGATAAATCCTAATTCTTTCCAAATCTATGGAAACTTTGCCACTAAGTTTAGTATCTTTTAATAAAAGATTTAATACACTAGTTCAAAGATTTCACACACTAATGTTTATAAAAGAAGTCAAGTTTGGTATTGCACTTAAATCATATCCTAGATGATCTGAAAAATATTATTAGTCATTGTAATCCCTACAAAAGTTTTATTAACAAAATGTTTTATTAGTATTTTTATGACTGCATCATAGCAAAAACTTAAGTCTGACTCTTGCTTGCACCACTTCTGCTAATGTAGATATGGAACTATAAATGGAACTATTGTAAATTACACACATCTAAAAGTAAAAGAAATAATAGATTTAATGAAACTCACAGCAGTCATGTCCACATACATCTTTATTTTTACAGCGATGGTTGCACTCTCTGTTCCCATATTTCTTGTAGGTATGCTCTTCTTTAGATCTGCTTCCTAGATAAATACAATACAGAAATGCTCCTTTTTTATTTTGTATGTATTTTTGAGTACCTCGTGCAGTGTAAGATGGGCTAAAAGTAATCTGGGTCACTGGAGTTTTGTTGCCTTCAACAACACTTTGGGATGCCCAAGTAATGTAGATGGAAAGAAATTAACAAAGACTGAAAAAACAGACACTATCACCATTCTGAGATTCAAGCTGTAGTATTAGACAGCAAACACATGATTTTTCTTAATTTCAAATTCATCAAAGAATTGCACTGTAGTACTTGACAAGCAGAAACAATAGGACTATATTCTTGTTATACTTGAGAAAGAAACAGTATGGATGAATACAGATCTAACTCTGCACTAAAAGTAAAATTCATTTTTCTGTTGACTTTGGTATTAGCCAGATGGTGTGATATCACCATTTACCTGTATCTACTTCTGCTGCTGGCGGACTTTGCGGTGAGCCGTAATACATACCAAGTGGAGACTCAGCTTTCAATTTTTTATTTGTAACTACTTTACCTCCAACTGTTCTTGGCATTAAGTAAAAGGCTGTAAATGCTTGCTGTATGTCAAGGCCAACTTTGAAAAAAAAATAAAATTAAATTGCTACAAACTGTTTCTAAAACTACTGATTACATCCACTTTTCTAAATGATTTAACTATAAATCTTTATTAAAAGACTATGGGAATCTGTTAGGATAATGTACCATTAAAAGTAAGCTATTATATGAATGGATTCTTAATGACTGAGATTTAAAAAACCCTCAGAAATTAAAGCCATCATTGCTACATAAGTAATGTAGCTATGTAGCTACACTTATCCCCATTAACCATATTTTTCTATGTTTCTGTACAACTAAGTTTATTTCTGGCTTTACATTGTTGATACAATTTTCACTTTAAAACTGTACAATAGTCTCCGTTACAGGACTATCAGCAGCTCAGTCTCCGTTACAGGACTATCAGCAGCTCAGTCTCCGTTACAGGACTATCAGCAGCTCTGTATTGATAACGAAAATGTAAAATGAAAATGTTGATAGTACCTTTGAAGTTAAATGCTAATGTTTCTAATTCAGGTTATGATTAAACTAAGATTTGTAAGGGACTGTGAGACACCATTTGTAAAAAAAAAAAAAAGAGTATTTTTGCCTTTTATTAGGCAAATATTGCTGGAAAATGAGTCAGGCTTTTCAAAAATGTGAGCATTTCCTTCATATCCAAAACAGAAGTGTGCTTTAAAGACAACCTGCTTTTAGCATAACTTCAGTTACCAAAGGGACAATTTCAGAGAAACTAACCGTTTCGTTGAGTTTTACTGTACTCAGTACAACTTGTAGATAGCTAAGTAGTAATAAAAGAACAATTTTTAATTCATCTTATTTGGTTAGAAAACATTCTTTCTTTCTCGAGGCACAGGTTTATACATAGGAGTACAGATTATTCTAGGTTGGATGACTGTAATAGTACTAATATTTAATGTTTATCATGGAAGCATCAAATATACTTCAGTTAATCTAACACACAGTCATGTTCTTTACAAGTGGAGCAGGATGAAGAATTTAATGCAGCCAGTTCATATTTAAATTATATTTCAAATTCTATTTGAAAGCTCGTTACTCTCTCTCCTTATCTACTGCTGTAGCTTCAATTTCATGGAAACTGACATTGAGGGAAACAATGCTTAAATCTTCACACCTTAAGAAACAACATTTTCCGCTGCAGAAATTTCTTGCTGCTGAGGTGTAGATGGATCTGTATCTAACACTCTTATACACAAAACGTAAAGAATGCAAAATCTAGCCATTTGCAAATACAGTTCTTCCCAGCATAAGTAATCTATAAAGCTGACAGTTTATGCCTACTAAAAGTTAATTCAACTTGCAGGTGAAGGACAGAAGAGAATCCTTTTCTGTACCATCAGAGCAAAATTCTATCTCCTAATAACAATTTTGATGTTTCCCAGTACATTAATATTCTAGTAAATAAATAGATTTGTAATTAGGAAAGTCAGGTAACACTCAACATAGTAAAAAAAAAAACATTTCATAGAATTTTCTTTCCATTTAAGTTCATTTTATCATATTTTGGTTTGATACAAAGTGTTTTAATAATTTATTCAAAATTCTTATGCAGTTGCTTTTAATTACAAGTATACTAATTAACTTACCATAATCAGAACTAATTAAATTTATACTAATGTCCTCTGATTTAAGAGCTCTTCTCACTTCAATTTTCTTCATCCAATTTCCAGTTTTTAGCAACACTGAATCCCTGTAATGTACCAGTAAAGACATGGTTGATGAAAACAAGACTGTATACTATGGTATCAGTAACCATGTGAGAGTCTTTATTTGGCCTTGGTTCTCAGATTTTGCTTGATAAGTGGCTTAAGAATGATCTTCCAATATTATTTGATCTATAGCCATAAGAGAGCCACGATCAGTTTCAGTTCTGACAAAAGTGCAAGACTTTGGCCAGAATTCGTGTGAAAATCACACAGTTAGAAAATCACTTTTTCTCTCCTCCCATTTGCTCCAAGCATAATTTATCCAACTGGAGAATTTAATCTCTGAGTAAAAAACAATTTTGACAGTGATATAATTAAAGAAATATAGCTAATAATCACAAGTAACAGCTTGAGAATGTATCTTTTTACTAGATATTCTATGTGTTTTGTATTTATGTGGAAATTAGATTATGATGACTTCTATAACATGGCACCATTGTCGTAGTCGTACACATACCTGTGTACTGACAAGCATACAAGTGTGATGTTTTGTTTTGTTTTGTACCGAGTCTCATGCAGAGTTTTAGATGATAACTGAGTGACTAGAAAATGCTATAGGATGAAGACTGATTTTGTACTATTTGGCTTCATTAAAAAGTACTGCCAAAACTGCAAGACAAAGGATTAAATGGCAACACACTTAAAAAGATCTGAGAAAAAAACCTGAACATACATACATTATTTTCTGAATAAAAATTACTTGATTGTCAGCATCTCCTATGATCAATGTAAGATAGTGAAAATCTGGTGCTGTTCTCTTTCTCTGTAGCTGCTCAAAGTTTGTTAATTTGATGGTTACTAAGATTTCAGCCAGTGTATCACTGTATTTTGGAAGCTAGAAACAAATGATAGAGAAAATGACTTAACTGTTAAAATATGCAAAGTAAAACATGTCCTTCCATAAAGTTTTAAGCACTGACACAAGCAGAAAAACTCATTTTGAGCAATATAAAGTACATTTTTTATTTATTGTGCTTCAATGCTCTTACACAGTACTAATCTTCTCCATAGCCGAATATCCTAGATTTGATTAAATATTGAGAAAAAACAGTCTACATCAAACCCCCTAAATAAACCTCCTCTCTTCTATGCCAAGAGAAGGATACAAGAAGAAAATTGCATATTTTGATACAGTTTTGAGATTAAAGGTTTTGCCATTCCAGCATTCCTCTTTAACAATTTACCATTGTTACACCTTTCTTCTGCAAACAACTTTAGAGACACTCATCAGATATTTAGTCAAATGAAAAACTAAAATAGAACTGATCATTATAAAAATAGTGTTCCATACATGTACATGTATACAATTTTTAACTTCAAAGGTTTCTTCATTTGTACCAAATTCACAAGACACTTTAAGGTTATTTTTCAAATTTCTCATTTCAGAAAACTGAAGCAAAGTGACTATGTGACTCGCTCAAAGACACAGACAGAATGCATATCAGAACCTCAAAGCACACAGGATTAGAACGTTAGATTACACACTGCCATTGAAATGGCACCAGTTAGGTTAATGAAATCACTTTATATATATTCCTCACTGTGACACAGAAAACAAATGTTAATGCGTGTTCTGTACGTTTTATACAATTGCTTTTCATGTCTCCAGAGTTTTGTTTTATTTTTATTTTTCAAATATTTAAAATAGAACTCCCAGATTCACATACTAAGCTAGAACGTCAACATACTGGTTTGCAACTCTAATATAAATTACTTTTTAGAGAGGGGTGAGGAGAAAGAGAGAAGTGAGGTGTGATAGAGAATGTTTATTCCAAAGCTGTCCTTCAGAGTTTTCAGTTTTGTTTAAGTTTTATTATACAAGGTAGAATGAGGCCACAACACCATGTAATCTTGTATCAGTGAAGGCTTAATATTTTCTAATGTTACTATTTGCTTTCTTTTAACAATCTTAGAATAAAATCATAAAATAAATATAGAAGCATTACCTGTTCAATGTCAAGTTCGTATTTTGGAAGATGCAAAACAGATTCTTTTATCTGGTTTCCAAAAGGAGGATGTCTGTTTAAAATCTGTAAAGATTTAATTTCATTTCTGATACATTCAGCTGATCAGAGAAGTTGACACAAATGTAAATTCAAGGAATCAAAGTCACCAGAATAATTATGTCATAGACAAAAGCCTTATCACTACTATTTCTTTACTGTCAGTGATGCCCACAATAACAACATAGCCAAAAGAAAGGAAAATTACAATACGTTTTCTGTTGCTATCTCTTCTGTTCAGGTAACAGCCAATGAACTAGCCCATGACCTTAAAAAACTAGTCAGGTTTTATGAGTCGATGCTTCTATGTTGCCCCAGCTTTAGTAAAAACAAAAGAAAACAGAAATTTCAGGGAAACTGGGAAAGAGGGCAAGAAAAAAAAAATTCTAACCCCAAACCTGAGTAAGATCAATTTCATTTAGAAATGTATTACATATTCCAAAACACTGGAAAAGCAGATTCCTCAGAAAAGAAGCCAAGAACCAAATCTAACTCGACCACAATAAGGAGAGTTCTATAGATGATTCAAGAAGAATTTTATTCTATGACAATTTTTTAACTAAAACTAGTAATAATGGTAATTCATGATTTTCACTATCAAGATAAATTAAGTGCAACAGAAAAAAATACGAAAGGGAATATTTATTTACAAACACTGCTAAAAGGGGAATGCACGTTGCCTTTTGTTTCAAATCATGTTAATAAAGGAATTCTTTGTATTTAAGCAACTACTTTCCAAATCCAGCCAAATCAGTAAAGTCATCCACATAAAATTTGATAAAACAAAACATTACACACATTAAGAAAAAATAAGTAGCCAAACTTTTTAAAATTACCAGCATAAATGAATAAACCACTTAAAATGCTCAGTTTTTCTGGCACTCACATAGCAGACATATTACTTTCCTCATCATGTTTATCTGCATACAAAATAATAAATTACCAATTCAAGTTCCCTTGCATTTGTCTCTTCTATTTTTTTAAATGTTGTCAGCCCAGCATTTACCATAGCATTTGACAATGATACACCTGTGAAAAAAAAAATCAGTTTTATGCTGTTAAGTGGCAATTGCTAATCTCTAATTATTCTAAACTGCATTATAGGAAGTAAAAACAATGCTGAAATCATTTTAATGTATGCTTGCTCCTAGTTTTTTACCCAGGAAATCACAAAATTTCTTTTCAGTAGATTAAGTATTTTAGTAAAAATTCCGTGTATCCATTAGTAAAGAGAAGAAGAAAACATTTAACATTATAATACTGACTTTTAAATAAACATTTTCTAGTATAAAACAGATTTTAGATCACTTTCTACAGGAGTCAACAAACAAGTGATCTATGTACAGGTGATGAAGAAAGCATGTCACCCACATGGAGAATAAAATTTGAGACAAAGTATCCTATCCAAGGATTATATGTTAAAGTCATAGAATTTCAAAGTTTTTGAGCAAACTAATAATGAAATTCACTCAAGGAAAAAAAGATGTATTATAAACTTCTAGGAATGTTTGCATGTTTCACCAAATATTTTGCCATTTATCTGCCACATGACAAGCAGATTAGCAGAGAATTCTATATACACCCTTATTCCTCTTCATGATTCTCAGTTCTTTTACATTTGTAATAAGACTTAGAGTCAACACTCTACATGTGAAAAGCCATTTTGTTAGCTAGAACTACAGTCTACATGTACTACAATGACTGGAATAATTTTAGATAAAAGATACATAGAATGAGTAGGTCTACTCACCATGCATAATTCCATACGAACAGTAAAACAAATCTGAAAATTAGGTTGGAAACCTCTTAGGAGACAACTCAAGATTGCCTTTTGGAGGACATGTTAAAGCACTCTTTCAAGAAAGGATGCATTTCAACTCAAGAATTTAACGATTCAGAAAAAAACATAAGGGACTTGTTTAGACCCTTCCTTCCTTTAAGTATATTTGAACACCTTTTGGGTCTGACTTGGGGAAAGCACCTTTTCTCAGCTCTCCTCTTATTTACAGAAGCTCTGCAAAAAGTTTGAAGACTAAAGACTATTACTTATTACTTCTGCAGCTACTTCACTTAGTGCCGGTGCCTTGCTCTTTAAATGAAGCTGAAGACTAGCTCTTTTGTTATAGCTCCTGAAATGGTAGAATGGTTTCCATTAATGAAGAAAACATAAGATACAAATGATACTTCTCCTCATCTTTATTTCTGATGAATTAAACTCAAACTGAAAATGTAGTAGATATAATAAAATCCTGGATGGCAACTGTTTGCTCTGTCTGTGAAAACAAGCAAACAGAATCCAGGTATCTGAGCCAGAGGTAGCATCGTTATTGGACAAGAGTAACAAATAGATATTTGTAGAAATTCAGCAAGAATCACATACAAGCTCAGTTAAAAAGAACAGTCACTGGTATAAAGGAAGTGCCAATTATTAAGCCTTTTTTAAGATTCAAAAAATAACATACTGTGACAAGAGTTTAAAAATTAGAGATTTCTAAATATGTTATATGATATCAGTAAATTTCTGTGAGCTCAAATATTCCACTTAACTCACAAAGAAATAGAATGGACTGCCCTAGCACGGCAGAGATCAAGAATGAAACATAATAATATCTGTGTCAATTCAATAATTATTTGATGCAGGGAAAAATAGTTAACTGTAAGTAGACTGTTAAAGAAGCCTGTGAGTGGAATAAATGAAAATTTGAAAATTATAAATCCTTTATAACATATGGTGCAAGAGCAATGACAGCACAAGAAAAAATACAAAGAAAAAAAGGAAATGGGAGATGTATAAATATATATAGTACTTCTATTATTAAAAAAATAGAACTGAATTCATTCTATTGAATGTAATATACAGGAGAGGATTTGTCAACACTGCAAGTTCCATGTTTATTCCATTCATTCCAACCACCTAGAAATGGTAAACATGAGGCAGACTCCTCAGATGATTCTATGTACATCAGCACAGATTCAGAAATATTGAAAATAGGTTTCCACCACGATGTGTTATGCTGTGCAGAAGCTAACAAGCCCTGTCTCCTAGTTTGAATCCACATGAAAGAAGCAACACTGATTCTGCACCCAAGCTGGTAAATCTGTAATGTACTGTACCATATGGATTTCCTGGCTTAGGTGCTCACTGATTTGCAGACCTCTGTAGTATACTGTTTTATACCACAGTAGATGTGTCTTTAAAGAACAAATGCAAAGAACTGCAGTGAATTCTGAAAGCATGAAAGTATAAGATCAGACAATACAGCAAAAAGACATATTCTACCTCAAATAAGAGTAACTACATTTTTGTTGTACAGATGGCTCCAAAATTTTGAATTCCTTTTCAAGTAATTATGACAGATCTGCACTTCCAGACAGAAGTTCATTTAGTAACAGGACACGCTAATAGGAAGAACACTATTAGAAACTTGTGATCTTCATGTATAAGAATCTCTAATGCACAGCAAAATTATTTCAATTTCATGGTTACCATCCACTTCAATGCAAATTAAATGGCTTTCATGCATATGAGTAGCAAAACTTATTGGTAACAGCTGCTTGAAAAGGAAGGTAAATTGTAGTCAGAGGTATGCAATCACACAAATGTGGAGTATGTCCAAAATACTGAAATGAGTATTATGAAAAAAAGAACAACTCCATATAAACCACTTTGAAAACCTTAAATAAATTAACAAATGGATTACTTTTACCCAAGATCATGACAGACTTCTAACAACCGTGACACTCAACCGTGGCAAATGGGTAACTGGGAGAAACATTTAATTATGTAAACAGGCACTCCAGAGGCTGATAATGACTTTTGATTACATTTCTGATTACATCTTTATCATTTCTGAATGGTACCTACCAATTTTTTCCAATTGTTTAGACACATGAAGTGAATTTTCCCAAAGTTTGCACCTGAAACACTTAGCTAAAATCACGGAGTTTAATAATGCCGAAAAATTGGTTTTACTTGATGCCAGAAAGTCAGACAACCCTGTAAAAATATGATTGACTTGCATCAATCAGAACAAATACATTTTTTACACTGTATTTACAAAAAAAGGATTGAATTTTACCATACATCTAGTAATTCTTATGCCATTTCTAAATATTTTGCCAGTATCTTGTGTCAAAGTAAAGTCTTGAAGAGGAATGCATCCTAGCTGAGCCTGAATAAGACTGAAAGAGAAATATATATTATTATATATTATATATATAATATATATATATATATATATATATATATATATATATATATGTTATACTTCGCTTATAGTACAGCTTATATAACAAGTTTCTATTGGAAAACAAAAAAAAAATCTGAACAGAAACAATAAAATATATAAAGTGACACAGATTGTAGCAGAGATTTCAACAGCCACAAAATGACAGTTTTCAATAAAAATTAACAACACAGTGTAATACTTACCAGTTTATTTTCATTTCTCTTGTTTTAATCTTTCCCTCCAATGGAAACCTACACATGAAAATATATTTATTTTCTGCTATTCTTTTATTTGTTACTAAAAATATACTTTTCTTTTTCAACGTATTTAATTTTTCATACCTGATGGTTATTTTGTCCTTGTCTTTATTCAAAGTGTTCAGTATTTTCTTTTCATTTATTCTTAACTTGACATCCAGAAATTCTGCGCAGTTGGAGATCATTGTAACCTGTAACAATTTAAATTTTTCTTAACATTTTTTTTTCATTCTCTGCCATTTTTTTTGTAGTACTTTTTCCTTTTTTTTTTTTTTTTAAATAACATCATTTAAAATTTGGTTGTTTCAACACTATGACCGTGCAAAGACAGTCAACTTATTCTTCATAATACTGACCAACTTTCTTTCATCTTCCTGTACAGGTTATTATACAACAGAAGGGGATGTGTTTTTTTTTTCCAGCTTTTAGACGATTACTCCACTTGAACTTACCCAAAACCAATCACACTACTAACAATTTATGAAACGCAAGGCTAATATTAACAGTTTTTGCTATTTGCTATGTATTTCACATTACTTTTTTCATCCTTAAGTAAGAAAGATAGCTATAAGAGAACAGGCATTCCGTTTTCTTCACAGGCAATCTGTTCTACCACAGTATCCCTTTGAAAACTAAATGTCTTTTGTGATATAATAGTTGCAATAATAAACCGTCATCTGACAAAGGAAAATTACTTAAAATAAAGTCAATAACATTCCTTCAAAAATAAAATCTGTTTCTCAAGCAGCTTTTTTTTTTTTGGAATAAAATATAACTAACAAAATATGGTATTTTATACATAAGCAGAACAGCTTCAGCAACTTTATGTATTCCCAAGAAAGCGAGGAGACAAAGAAGTGGAAATCAAAAGATCTCCCCAGTGAAAAGCCTCAAAAATACTCCATATGGAATTGATTAGGATGCATTCTTTAAAACTTTATACTTCATATAAACAAAGCCTGAACTCTTTAACAGAAATAAAGACTTCTGAATCTATTTTTGATTCTGTTTAAAATTAATCGAACATGTGTAAAGTTTCTTTGAAATGTTAAATTACCAATTCATTTAAAGTCTCTGTTCCCTTAATTGTGAAAAACTGTTTCACTGTTTCAAATGCAATATAATACCATGCCATTAATCTTCCAGTCTCTGTAAAACAAAAACATACCTTCAAAAATAAATATTCCAAGTATTTTAAGTGTATATACTTAAGTCACAAAACTGAATTAATTTTCTTATTACAGGGCTCTATGAGATTTAACACCACTGACTGAATACACATAGCCCCAGCTATCTGATGGATATTATTGACCCCATCACAGAATAGCAGAAAAATATTCACCAGTTAGTTTTTTCCAACGAAGAATGAATTCACAAGAACATAACAGACTGTGAACTCACACTAACATATCGGACTGTGAACTGTGATTGCTGAGAAGCCAACCACATCTAGCACAACATTGTACAGAAGAGCTAGTAGTATTGATAAAACCTGTCCTTCATTATCACGGGATAGCAGGATGTAATGCAGTGCAAAGTTCTATACTTTTCTTCTAATCTGCAACAAAATTTCCAGCAACATCAGAAGCGAAGGTATGTTCAAGAATTAAGAGAATCAACTTCTTTGCTAAAGAAACAAATCATATATCATGCAGTCTTTCAGAGTCTACTCTCTGTTACATTTGCATACTCATATAAATAAGAATAGTTGTGACCCTTTGTAGTTCACTAGTATCTCAAAATCACTTCTGAAAATTTATTTCTAGAGAAGTGTTACCTGTTGGTTTGAAACTATTTTCTTTATCCATCCTGACCAAATTGAAAGAAGACAAATCGTTCAAGTTCTTCAAACACAGTTCTGTACACAATTTGAAAATACATTTTAGTACCTGCAGAAAAAAACTTACCTATTTACAAGCCAAGAACAATGACATTTAATTGCAACAAGTATATGCCAAAGTAATTCCACTGAGCTCAAGCAAAAGTCCTTCTTAACTTCGTGACAAATTTCTGCCTAGTGCAAGTTCACTCCCAGATGTTTGATATAGGATAACCCAACTCTTTTTCAGTAAAGCAAAAGTAGAAAATTAAGAGACTAGATGCATGTCATGGAGGCTGCCATTTTCAATTCTGAATGACAGGCCTTAGAACTCATAGTATATTTACAAAAGATTTCCTCTAAAGTTTTAATACTTAAATGGTTGAAATTTCAAATATCCAAAGGTATTTATGAATCCTTCATTAGAATTTTTCATACTGTGTCAGATAATGTTGTATTTACTTCATTAAACCCGTTTAGTTGCTGGTGTTGGATATCTGCTTGAGGATGATCAGTGTTTTATCTGCTCTTCTCTCTTTCAAAAGCGAGGCAATTAGAAGGTGAAAATAACATTAACGCAGTATTCAGAATTTTAAAATAAAGTTGGGAAAGCACTCAAAGTGATAGTTCCCAGAGCAACCAGAAATGTTTTCATATATTAAAAGTGCAAGGTGAAAGATAACTATATATATCATTATAAAATATTTCATGGGTACAGAGAAAAGAAGCCACAGTTTCTGTAACAGGGAAAGAAAAAGGCTTTTTTGAAAGCATATAAACAGAATACAAACAAGCAAACAAAAAAGATAAATCAAGCAAAGAAAAATTAGGACAAAAGACAAAGTCAAAATTAGAGAGCTCTATGTGTAGTTTTATTTCTGAGTACGTATATGGGAAGATGAGGTAGGTAGAGGCATTTAATTTTTCTCCTCTATACAAGAAATATTTCTCTACCAGACAAAATATACTGATAGTGTTCCAAAAGCAAAAATAATTAAGCAAAATCAATAGTACAACATACAACAGTACAACAGTACATTTGTTCTGTGACTTAATCTACTGAAATTAATGGAGCTGTATAATACGCATAAACATGGATGAACCTGGCCTAAAATCTAACATTTTACTAAGAAAGCTTAAAAGCCACATACCCTGTAATTTTGCTTCAATTCCAATTTTATCCAATCCAGATGAAAAACCTTCACTGAAAAGACAATTTAAAAAAATCTAATATGATTACGTGCTTCCTTCTCAATATTGTAACCAATCAAAAACAATTTCCTAATATTTAGGAGCCAGATACCCAAAATGAAAAAATTCTGAATGTTGTTATACTGGGAACAAATCAAGAGCCTTACACAACATAATTATCTATGCATCAATAAGTAGTTGTTGGAATAGACAGGAAGAGTTAAAAGCTCCAGATGTTCCTACGTAATACATCAGAGTCCTGAAAACTGCAGAAATATCTGTAAGGAACTTTGAAATAGTTCCTTAGCAGAGAACCAAGTTCACATGTGGAATCTTTCTATCATAAAATACAGGAAGCTACCTAAACTGTAATACCCATTTAAGTACAAAATGTACTAGGGTCCATTCCCATCTATAAATCCTTAAAACAAAAATTGTCTCCAGCAAGTAACCAATGACTTCATAATCCCTGTAGTGCAAGTGGCCAGGAACAAGGACAAAGCCAGGGCTGGCAACTGAGATGCTGTTCTGGAGAAAATGAATTGAAGACACCAGCATTAGGATTATTGAAATTTTGTTTTAGCAAAACTATGAAACACTAGACAAAGTCTTTTTCTTAGCAGCATATTACCTATTCAGTGCTGAAATGCACATTGTGGCTAGACACTGTATTCATAGACAGCCCACTGCATTGAGATGAAAAAAACAGATCATGTGAAGCTGTTTGAACTATGTTTGAAGGCTTCTTCATAGTTTTTAACGTTATGCCACACTGAAATGTTACAGGCCACATAACACATCGTCTTCAACCCCTTATAAAACAGTAGTCCATAAGAAAAGAAGAAAAGAAAAGAAACAAACAATATTGATCTAACACTTGCTAGTGTCATAATTTAGATCAATTACAAACAAACCGTAATGAGTTGGATTTTTTAAAGCTCTAATGTACAAGAAGGTTGATCGTATCCATTCCAAAGCTACAGTGACATCTGTGACAGTATGCAGCACTATTTCTGCATTTAAGTGCTCAACAAGATGCCTGTGCAAGCTGTCAAAAACAAATCAACCAAAAAAAACCTGTAAGTATATTCAGCAATTAATAGTACAAAAATACGCTATTTTGTTATTAACTATTTTGGATTTCTTTTTTCTGTCAAGTGTTCACTTTAATCAGTGAAATTACTAGACTTTTCATAATTATTTAGAAAACAAAGTTTTCTAAAACATTTTTCTAAAACATTTAAAAGTTATAGCACAGTGTTGATATTTTGAATATATTTTAAAAATGAAACCTTAAAATAATAACATGATCAAAAGTTTGTGTTTTATCCTTTAACATCTTAACTTTCCTGTATATTTGATTCTTGAAATTATGTTCACCTCAACCGAATTCTGTAGTTTAGTACTTTCTAGACTCTGTTGTCGAAAGATTCAGAGACATGATCTGGGTTCCACTCTTGCTGTTTGTCTTTGCAATACGTACTATTTCAGTTCATTAAATTTTCCAGCAGGAATCTACATCTAACTTCTCTTCTGTTAAGTTTAAGATGACCTAAAGTTGTTTTTATCTTTTAAAACAAAAGCTGTATATTTCTGAGTAGCTTGGCTTGATTTGCTTTTTTTGGATTCTGAAATGTCTTCTAAACAGAGACAAAAATCCTGAAAAAACACCTTCTGTAGAAATAATGAAACATTACTACCATTTATATAGTCTTATGAAAAATTAGTTACCTGCTCTCTATTATATCTGCACCATTTAACATCTGTATATACTTCTCCCTTGTACTCCAACGAGTCATAATGACTGCTGTTGCTGTAGTGTCAAACTGCAAAGTAAAAAAAGTAAAACAAAATTAAAAAAAACCAACCCTCTCTTTTTGTGAAAGCAAAAGGAATTAGAACTTTATGAAGACAGTGCTTCCAGTCCCTCCGTTCCTATTTTAACTTAATTAGATGCTTTCTTGCTCTGATGTTATGAGAACAAAAGTACATTGTGCTCTATGCTATTAAATACTCTAGATTTTTTATCATACAATTTCTAAATTTTGTGCCAACTTCCTATTTTTTCCTCTAATCCATATTCCTTACACAAACCAAATGCAATCTTCAGATCTTTTTCTAGAGCAAGGTAAAGCGATGCTTTTTAATGGACAGTACAAAAGCAAACATATTTTTCTCTAATAGATATTACCCAGATATAATTTAACTGTTAATAAAAAAATAACTAAAAAAACAAATGCTGCAATATTTTTTTGGTATTGTTGTTTCTTCATACAGCATTAACTTACTTGAGGTCTTCCTGCTCTCCCAATCATTTGCAGAATATCAGTTTCACTGTACTCTTCAAACATCCCTCCAACATAGTGCATTGTGGATTTTATAACCACCAGGTGTGCAGGTAGATTGACTCCCATAGCTAACGTGCTAGTAGTAACTAGATCAGATCAAAGTATATTGACTTCAAGGTGAATACCACTGAAACGTCTCGCAGATAATAAATAAGCAGCAAATAAGGGCCTAATTTTCATTGCTAAGAGCTCTTGCTTCCCAGTAAACTCAGTGGAAGGCAAGGACATTTTGCACCAGAAATAATTAGACCTAGAACAGACATGTATTTGCATTAAAATAAAAAGTATGTATCTGATCATCTGCATTCAGTTATCAAGTATTCTTTACCAGAATACATCTGTTCAAAAGTGAATATTTAAATATTAAATAAATGTTTAATTATTAAATACCTGTTTAATTATTTTTATTTAAACATTCCTTAACAGATCATCCAGAATGCAATCCATAAAGCACATACACACTGAAGAAACAAAATCCATAATTCTTCACGGATAGAAATTTGAATACAGAAACGTATCTATCTTCCTTCATAGTGACTAGTATCTTTAAGAACTTTTTTCAAGTCATCAGTCATTAGCATTATTTATATTCATGGCACCAAACCACAATCATCACCAATACTATCATAATACTTTACCAATACATACTCTCACATGGAAAAACACCAGCCGTGTTTGTTTATGTGCAAATTATCTCCCTCTACTACTTTTAAATTTACTTTCTTTAACAGAAATTCAGCATGGAAAGTCAACTATACAGGCCAATGGATATTCCACTAGAAAAACAAAATATTGTTAAACACACCAATTGTTTTCAGAAATTAAAGGAGAGCTATAATTAATGAGTCACAGGTACATCAGGAAAGAAGGATCCAACGTAAACTAATGCCACAGCCATTTCCCTTCACAAGAATAATAGTGGTTTTCATACTGTCTAGATACACTCTCTGTTGGAGCCAAATGAACCACATAAAAAGTTGCAAAGAAAGTTTCTTACCAGTGCAATTCAAACTACAGTCCACATATATATACCCACTGTGAGTATACCTACACTCAAGACCTAAAATTTCTTCCCTTTGCAATACTTGTAGAAGTGTGTTAAAAACCTATCCCCCTTCACGTTCAGAGACATGAGGCAGAAAATGCCCACTTTTGGTTGTATGAATGTGTATAGTTATAGCATCTCAGATTATTCTGAAATGTTCATACAAAACACACATTTCAAAGAACTCAAGTATCAGTAAGCACCTTTGCATTCTTTTAGTGGTAGTCAATATGTACATACACTGCGTTGAGCAGTGGCACAGGGTCTTCTGTTCATTTTGCTAAGAGCAATTGTACAACCACTATCTCCTGAGACTTCAGAAATGGAACAGCAGTTGGCAAAGCCATACGCACAACTCCAGTACAGCAGATCACAAGAATACAGAGAGACTTTTTAATAGGATGGGTACTACAACTGGGAATTTTGCCAGATCATAGTAAAGGGATCTACCTTAAAATTTCAGTGAGTCAGGACTGTTGTACAGAAATGAAAAATCCATGAATCTTTCATTGTTGTACGTGAACCACACAAGCAGTTCTTCATAGAGTCTGAATTTCTGGATGTGAAAAGTGAAGGCCTGGACAAGATGAGACTATCTCTATGTAACAGCAGGTGCAATCTTTCTTAGCAAGAAAGATTGTCTATCAAAACACCTTGCATGGGGTGCTTGAAAATGGAATCTTGCCTGTCTAAGGAGAAAAAAAGTACAAGTTTATCTTCAGGGAACCACTGTTGCAAAAGACAAACCAAGAAAACATAATTTGAAAGCCGAAAAAGGACACAGTAGCAGAGGACTGCTCAGCACTACTAGAATGAAATGGATCTAGGCCAGCCCTATAGACACGTAAGAGCAAGGATGACCTTTGTGTATGCTGAAAAGAAGGAAAGTTCTCTGGTTTTCAGTAATAATGTGTCTGTACACTCACAGAGTAGAAGTGCATGTGAAACATAATAACAACTTTTGGATTTCACAAAGTAACAATGGAAACAGTAGAATCCCCAATTCCAAACTACAGTCTTCTCAGAATACATTAACATTTTGACTTTCAAAGTTAAATTGACTTACAAAGTACTTACAAAGTACTGGTAAATCTCCATCAGTAAAAGCTCCTTCAATTATTTTTCTGTCACACACCTCCATACCCGCATGATGATAAGCCACACCATACATTAAAAGATCTGATAGTAAAACAATGGACATAATTATTTCATTAAGTTTACTCAGGCAAATTTTCATTCAAAAGGCAGAGAAGTGGTAGGTTATATTTACCTCTGAGCTTAGAATCTTTCAATGAATTTGCAGACCTCTGTAATCTACACAACAAAGAAAAAAAGTGCTTCAGAATCGCAAAGCAGATTCACTAACGTTGGCAGAATATGCAAAGAAGAGTACACTTAAAATGCTAAGATATAAGGTTCACATGAAACAATACACAACTATGCCTTTTAAGGTTTTAAGATGTATTCCTTGACATGTACATTTATTTTACATACGTTCTCATATTCCTAGTGCCTTTGTGCTTTTTTAAAGATGTTCTTAGTTTATAAATACATGTTAGCCTATCAGAAGGATATCATCTTAAAATAACTTTTTACCTACACATTCTTTGGATACTCATAACCATCACCTTTCCCAGAGCAAACAAACTGACTCTCTAGAGGAGCCAATGCACCCTTTCCAGCCCAGTCATCTTTCCAAGTTATAACATACAATCTAGCTCTGACCTGGATGCAGAAGGTGAAATCAGATATAAATACTGCTGGCAGAAATGCAAGTGAGAAAGAGGGAAAGCAACAGAGACATATAGAAACATTCCTCTGCTGGAAACTGTATTAGGTCAACAGCTTCACAGATTTCACAAGTTTACTAGAACACATAAACACTTAATACAAATTTCAATATAAAAATACCTTTGTTTCTGTTCTACACTTAATAGAAATTTGGCATCTTTTGAAAGAACAGAAGCGGCCTGCTGTACTCCTTTTCTTGTGGCACAAAACTGTAAGTAAGAAAATAGTTTTTTCTGAATCAACACTTTTTGGTAAGAAAATTATAAATGTGATTAAAAAAAGATGTTGTACCACAAGTGCTGGTTTTTGTTCAGAGTATGTTTGTATAACACTCGCTATCTTGTAGTTAAGAGTTAAGTCAAATTTGAATTCTGTTTGATTATCACTGCAAGGAAAACCAAGAACAATTTTGCGTAGCTTCACTGGTCGCTGATCCTCATCTATTTTCAGACATACAGCAGGCATATTACCATCTGAAAGCCATTCTGCAATCTTTAAAAAAGAAGAAACAGAATTTAAATTTAAATAATAATTTTCTGCCTTTAATCATGCTCTGCTCTAACTGCATTATACAGTAATTAGCTTACCTTTTGTCACCTATAAACGATTAACACATTTCACATACTTTTAGCATGAAAACCAGTGGAAGTTCTACTTTCTACTGAACCATTTTACTTTGGATTGAAATCTCAAGTCCATTTAGATTTATATTAAAGACAAAAATCATAGAAATCTGAAACAGAAGCATAGCCATACTTAGCTGGTAGTTTCCTATGGTTGAAGGTCATTTATTAAGTTAACATCAACCACACAGCTGCCATTATCTGACAGCTTCAAAATGACAACTTTGGTATCTATTGATATTTATTTAGAACTCTACTTTTTTTTTTTTTTTAATAAAATGCAACTATATTAATTAAAATACTATTAAAATATAACTCTTACATCTTCAGCATTTGGGATTGTTGCTGAAACAGCTACAAATCTCAAGGGAGGAACAACGTCATGATTCTCTGAAAGACGCCAAAGAGAAGACTGAATAGTCCTCATCCGACTGACTACAACTTCTAATGTTGCACCACGGCTTTCATCCTTTATAACATGCACCTATTAGGAATTTTAAAACATTTGCAAAATATTTCTTGAGTTATACTCTATACATGTGTTAAATAAATGTTTTATTTTCTAACACATCTTCAGGAACAAAAACAGCATATAAAAATCATTAATTTTCTTGCCTCATCAATGAGAAACAGTCGTACAAGCTGAACTATAGAGTTGTCTCTCCACCTTCTAGTCATGCTATCCCATTTTTCCTACAAGATAAAAAAAGACAGGAGGAGAAAAGTCTTTGAAAGGCCAGCGTATGTCAGAGCTATCTCTGACATAGCATATCAGAGCATATCTCTGCATGACAGGACATGCAGGCATAACTAAACTTTAATAAATCTTTAAATTAAATCAGTTAAATCAAGCAAATGTATGTTTCATCTGACACATTATTACATGCTGTTTACATGAACCAGAAGCATGCACAACAATTTGTAGGCAAGTACAAAGATCATAAAATTGTTCTGCAACTCACTACTCATTAGTTCTCATTAGTACTCATAAGTTCTGCAAATCAGTACTCACTACAAAAAAATAAATATCAGATGTGACAGCATACAAGCAGACCAGTAATGTCCGCTTTTTCTAGTGGTTTTGTTTTGTTTTGTTTTTAAGAATTTGGACTGAAACCTACAGGTGTAGTGATAATAATGTGAGCACGATGTATTTCAAATAAATCATCCATCACTGTATCTCCCGTCAGTTCCTTACAGTTGAGTCCTATAGGTCCAAATTTTTCTTTCCAGTCATGATAACGCTGACTGCATAGAGCTTTTATTGGAGCCACTAAAAACAACACAAAATGATCAGTTATGTCACAAACACCAAATCTTCAACTGTATTGCTAAAAATGCTAAATGCAGATGTCTTCTTGCATTTAATTCTTCAATTTTCAGCTTTGCTCCCCAAACCATAACATTCATAATTGTATTATTATCCTGTCCCTTATGTATAGATCAGCTTTGAGCTTTGGGCCACGGTTCTTCCCTATCAGCAACTGGAAACAGAACCCTTTAATTAAGGTTATTTATGCCCTCTCTTAATCCTGACTTTTTCTTCAGTTCCATATGGAAACAATAAGCACTCAGTTATCAAAAGGTTTTCTCACAGACATAAGAAACCACAGGAAATAGATCTTTTTAATGAAAGATCATACAAATACCAACCTTTTTCCTATTTAGAATGATATGAGCGCTCTGTATTCAAAGACAATGCGGGGTTATAAATGAGAAACCATTCACAAGCAGGCGACTGAATATTAGAAGAAACAAAAAACTATCTAAACCACGTGTACAGTTAAGTGTCGTCAGTGTCATACCAGCTAACATGGGAGGTAGGAGCGATGCTGGTCCTGATGAACGGACTCCTATAACAATCTACTTTTTTTTTTTCCCCCCCCTCCGGCCTGTAGATACATACTATACTTGTGCAGATGGAGGTTAATTTCTAGAAGACAGAAGTTATTCTCTACAAGGACTGATACTAGCAACACATGAAAGTCTATACTGGATAGGTAATCTATTGGAAAACGCAGCAATTTATGTTAAAAAAAAAAAAAAAAAAAAAGCGATCTACCAGTGATGGCTACTTAAAGCCACTGGAATATGATCCATTTCTGTTGTCAGCTGACTACTGATCCACAAGATGAAGTGATTTGAAGAACCAGTTTCTGCTACAGAAAAAAAGGTGTAAAACCTCATAAGATTACCAGTGGCCTATACAGAAGCAGAAATCACTAGCTTCAGAAAACTGATAAAACTAGCAGCAAGTAATTCATAAAATTGCAAGAGTAATTTTCTATTAGCGATGAGGCAGAATGCAAGAAAGTAGTAATTGCCCCCTAAAATTCAGCCACCAATCCTTAGCACGTTAAAGCTATTGATTATCAGCCCGAAGTTACAGAACTACCACACGCTAATTCACATACACTGGGCCACAGACAAACTGGCTACTGGATAATCCTCCAGCAGTACATACTCTGATTAACGCTTCCGTTCCAATATTCACAAAAACAGGCATATCTTGTTCTTCATCGTTGTACTAGGAAAGGTCAGCAGATCTAATTCCACCAGCACATAAATACTCCCTTACTGAAAATTCTAACCACCTGATTAGCATCACTTCTACCAATACAATTAAAAGTCTTAGAGCACACTGAAGTGCTTCACCTTGCTATGCTCAGAAAAACTACAGTATGTGTCTGTTTATAAAAAAATCTCTTTACAATACACAGTAAACTCTGTGTCAACACTAGCATTATTGTAAGGATTTTAACTCACTGAAATTAAAAAAAGACTACAAACAAAGCTGAAACATTTGTAAAATAAAGATTAAACATTAATAGCAAGACTAACAAATATATCACTGTATGAATTAACTAACATTGGGACAAAACCATCCATCTCATCTGCTTTACATGATACGAATGTAGCTCTCCAGGAAGAAAAAGAGTAATGGTCTACAGATGTGACTATCTTTAAGTATTTTCATTAGTTTATATACAGATCAATTAAAACTCATGAAGACCATGGCTCTGTTGCCTTTGAACTAGTAGACAGAAAGCAACAGCATGAAACCTTGCCAGATAAACAAATGTTGAAAAAAGTGATTCTTTTATCAGAGCAAATGACACGTACACAAAAGATATTGCTTCAGCTCAGGCTCTGACGAGAATTTGGTTTAGTTTCCTTTGTTTCTCTTTTTTTCAGGTATATGTTGCTTTCTCAGAGGATAAACTCTTTACAATATTTTTATTTGTCTAGGCAGTGGTGGCCACTACAATTATACAGTGCTGTTACTTAAGTAGTTTCAGTATTATTTAAACAATCGATCCAGATCTCCGTGCTTACAGAATGACATTTTCTACTGTTGTCATCAAAATGATTAAAGCTGCATAATACTTACTGTAAACAATTTTAATATTTAACCAAGGCATTGGGGCTTCCATAAGTAATCTGGTAATAGCTAGTTCAAACATCACAGTTTTTCCAGAGCCAGTTGGAGCACAAATCACAAAATTTCTATCTGTGTAAAGAAGCTAGGAAGGAATGGCATAGAAGTAAATGCAACGCAGCTATTCATTGTACCTATCCATACATTGTAAAAACATTTTCTAGGTAAAAAAGACACAAAATACACTGATAGCTGGTAGTTCTTTAATTAATTTTGTATTAGATGTGGACTTTAAATTACAACAAGAGAAAGAATGTCTTTTGCTATGCAACTGTCATGGAAACGTAAATGAGTGACACTAACAGTACTGCCAAACAATTGTTTGCAGGAATTACCACTGTTCTTTCTGTACAGTTCCATTTCTTCAATGCTCACACATACACACAAAAATCAATGATACATGAATATGAAATCTTTGCTGATTTTTGTTAAATAATCATTTGTAACATTTACTGTGTATCAAACAGAGAAATTTTAACAAGCTGAATCTTTCCAGCTCAACCAATAAAAAAGGCATGACCATTATCTTTTTAATATGATGACTTTTCTTTCCAACTTCATCTCTAATATGTAAGTGATAGGCAAACCTTGTCCTTCCTTGTACTTTGCAAACAAGTTTATATTTAGAAGTACTAAGACATAAGTCACTCAATTTTTTCCCCAAAATGATTGCCCTGACAACTCTGTTCATTGAATAACAGAAAACCACTGCTGTAAGCAAAATTTACTGTTGTTATAGTTACTAAAAAAAAAAAAAAAAAAAAAAAAGTAATGCAAGATTATTTTACAGGCCAATATGATGTATAATCCTCACTGATGAAACTCTGATTTCCCCTCTCTATGCAAAACCCGTAACACAATCTTCCTCAAATTGGTTAATTTCAAAATCAGTTTGGGGTTTTAAAGAAAAAGTATAGTTGATAAACAGAAAGGATGGACAAACACCACTTTTCCAAAAGAACACCCTTCTCTAAAGATCTGCTTAATTTTCCTTTGAAAATAATTTAGGATACTGGCAATCTGTATGTGTAAGTATACTTGTCATTGACAACTTCACACAAATGCATTTGAGAAACACATTTTAAGAAGTTCTTCTCGTCTCTCTGCTATGCTCAATTCTGCTTATCTATTCCAGGAAGAGACTTGAAATACATTGTACTTTTCTAACCCCTTTTAAGTTCTAAAGTTTCATTTGCATTTGCACAATATATTTATCTACAAAGTACTACTTGCAGCTGCAGCAAACATTTCATACTTACGTCATCCAAAGCTTTAGACTGTGCATAGTTAAAATATGGAAACTCCTTAAAGATACTTCTAAATTGGGTCGCTTGAGAGCATTAAGGAAGTGAAAACAGAATCACATAATTGTCTAGGTTGGAAGAGACCTCAAGATCACGGTGTCCAACCTCTGACCTAACACTAACAGTCCCCACTAAACCATATCCCTAAGCTCTACATCTAAACGTCTTTTAAAGACTTCCAGGGATGGTGACTCCACCACTTCCCTGGGCAGCTCATTCCAATGCCTCACAACCCTCTCAGTAAAGAAGTTCTTCCTAATATCCAACCTAAAACACCCCTGGTGCAACCTTAGCCCGTTCCCCCTCGTCCTGTTACCAGGTACGTGGCAGAACAGACCAACCCCCACCTCGCTACAGCCTCCTTTAAGGTAACTGTAGAGAGTGATAAGGTTGCCCCTGAGCCTCCTCTTCTCCAGGCTGAACAACCCCAGCTCCTTCAGCCGCTCCTCGTAGGACTTGTTCTCCAGGCCCCTCACCAGCTTGTCACCCTTCTCTGGACCCGCTCAAGCACCTCAATGTCCTTCTTGTAGCGAGGGGCCCAAAACTGAACACAGTACTCGAGGTGCGGCCTCACCAGAGCTGAGTACAGGGGGACGACCACCTCCCTAGCCCTGCTGGTCACAGTGTTTCTGATACAAGCCAGGATGCCGTTGGCCTTCTTGGCCACCTGAGCACACTGCTGGCTCATAGTCAGCCGACTGTCCACCATCACTCCCAGGTCCTTCTCTGCCTGGCAGCTCTCCAACCACTCATCTCCCAGCCTGTAACTCTGCTTGGGGTTATTGCGCCCCAGGTGCAGGACCCGGCACTTGGCCTTGTTGAACTTCATACAGTTGACCTCAGCCCATCAGTGCAGCCTATCCAGATCCTCCTGCAGAGCCTTCCTACCCTCGAGCAGATCGACACACGCACCTAACTTGGTGTCATCTGCGAACTTACTGAGGGTGCACTCAATCCCCTCATCCAGATCATCGATAAAGATATTAAAGAGGACCCGCCCCAGCACCGAGCCCTGGGGGACGCCACTAATGACTGGCCTCCAGCTGGATTTGACTCCATTTACCACGACTCTTTGGACCCGGCTATCCAGACAGTTTTTAACCAACGAAGCGTGTGCCAGTCCAAGCCTAGGGCAGCCAGTTTCTTGAGGAGAATGCTGTGGGAGACGGTGTCAAAAGCCTTGCTGAAGTCAAGGTAGACCACATCCACAGCCCTTCCCTCATCCACCAAGCGCGTCACTTTGTCATAGAAGGAGATCAGGTTCGTCAAGCAGGATCTGCCTTCCATAAACCCATGCTGACTGGGCCTGATCGCCTGCTTGCCCTGTAAGTGCCGCGTGATGACTCTCAAGATAATCTGCTCCATGAGCATTATAAAATTTCTTTTAGAACTGTGAAATGCATCTCTATCTTGCAATTTAAATGCCAATTTAAAAAACATGCTACAGACTTTAATTGATACAAGCTTGTCAAAAAAATACCAGAAAGTAACTTATTAAATGATTTAATATCTTCATTTGATTCTTGGTGTGCCAAATGTTCCACTTCATGGAAAAAACAAAACAAACCACTCCCTATTTGAGAGGTCTCAGGACTATACCATGAATTGAGAACCTTCTCCCTGGAATAAGTTGCATGGAACAGCATACAATTATGACATGTGAAAGCATTTGAAGGAGCAAGCAGAGCACTGCTGTTAACGTAACTGAAGTGCCAATTGCCACATTATATTTGTAATATAACACATTCAACAGCGTAATATTGTTTACCCAGTTATAACAGTAGTAAAGAAATTCACCTACAATCTCTTAATGCTGATAGTGCTATTAAAGGTATTTTCAACTGCAAATATTGTGTATTTTCCATATTTTCCAGACAAAAGCATTTTTATCTAAAATACAAGTAAGAGTAAAGAGAGCATTGTTTCCTTACGATCCAAACAAATGAGATGATCCTTGTCTGGACTTGCACTGAAGCCACACAAGCAGACTAATCGCAACCATCCAATCAGTCTATGGATGCAAACACAGTCGGATGTAACACCAACAGTCACAAAAACAATGAACAGCTGAGGCCTTAAAAAGTTGTTCTATTCATTTTAAATGACTCAAAAAAAAAAAAAAAAAAGAGTAATACAAGAAAATAATGAAATAAAACCAGAAAAAAAGTAAAGGTGAGCAAGGATTTTTTAAAAAGGCTTCTCTAAAATTATCCCTCTAAATAAATGACCCATTTTCAAAACGAGGAGCTTTATCTGCAATTGGCAACATCAGAACAACTGAGTTCTTACTTGTTCTGGAAATTATGTCAATTCTTACCAAACTAAAAATTTTAAATTTTACATTTTAAAAATAAGTAATTTTGAGGATAAAATGTACATGTTTGAAATAAGAATAAGTTTGCTTGGTGATGAATGATCTATTTATAAGTTATTCTATTTTCATTCTAGCTTTGGAGGTCCCAGGCATAAATTCCCATTCAACTCCCAGCATTACGTTACAATTCAAAACTATTACAGTATAATGCATGAGTTCTTATGGCTACAAACTAACCACTATAATTTTGTAAATGTAAGAGTCATGGTAATAAATTCAATAAATCAGATACAGCAAATAAAAGGATACGTATTTCTGTAACAGCCCTCAACATTTCCAAATTTCTTCCTGTTGTTCCTAAAAGAAAGTAAAGTTTATAAAAATAGATTTCACTGTTCTCAACCAATATCCATGAAAAATATCTTCCGAACTCTAAGCTGTGCATTCTGTGAGGAGCTACAAGGCTGCAGCAAAGCAGAGTTGATAAAGGAGCTGACAGGACAGGAAGGACATAGGTTTGTTATTTGAAAGGACCATGTTGGTGGCCCTTTGTTGAACTCACTCCAGTTTCAGAATGTCTTGCTTGTACCAGAGGCCCAAAATGCCTCTTAATACAGTACCTAGACATCTGAGAAGTGTAGTAAAAGTTATGCAAACTGAACACAGCTCGTGAGGTGCAGCTTTATCAGAGCTGAATAGACCAGGACACTCTCGGCTTTCATTACTGCTGGGGCAGCTGCTGGCTCACATTCGTTTTGTTTGCCAGGCCCCAGACACTTTTCTGCCTGAATTTCTAAAAAAAGTATTCTATCACTTAATCAAAATTCTCACCACTTTCCTCCATTTTTCCTATTTAATCTAGAAAGATACAAGTGTGAGCAACATGACTAATAAACAATCAATTTTTAATGTAGATGAGACTATCCACTGTATCGAGGGACCAGGCTGCTCCTTTTCAAATTGTTCAGGAACAGACTTGGAGTGACACTTTCAAAAAGGTCCAAGACTTAGTGCTTTGGAAAATGTAACTCTTCTTCATAAATTGTTTACACAGCACATATTAAGCAACAACACATTTAAGTTCCTTAAAACTGTAATATCATTTATCTATATTTAATCAATTACCTTAATTTGAGCTGGCAGAAAAAGGTTCTTCACTCTTTACCTTGATCAGTGGAGTGTTTTTTTTTGTTTGTTTGTTTTTTTGTTTTTTGAACAGAGCAATAATAATTACCTGTCTTATCCAGAATCCTTGAAGCACTAGGAAGTGATTTTATTTGAAATCCTATTTTAGATGCAATGTTCCCATCATTTACCCTATGTAGGGTAAAATCTGAGTCTGTAGTTATTGGAGTATGATGATTTATTCTCCACACATCTTTTCTCGCTTCTGTCATGTTTTCACTTGTATTAAGGTAAGTATCAACTTGTTTCATATCCACTGAACTATCTTTAAATTTTGTATTTTTATACATGCAATCAGACAGTTTAAATAAGCTGCAAAAGATGCAGGATCTTTATTACTTTGTTGTATGCTACATAGTTTCTCTAATATTTGAAAAATATACATATTTATATAAGAAACACAACCAGTAAGATACAATCATAAGAAAAGTTTGGAAATAATTTTAGTTGATCTGTCTGACACTCTTCTACCCAAAGAAGACTCCTTTCAATACACATTTTAACTTTACTTTCATAGAAGAAAAAAGAAGAAAAAAGAAGAAAAAAGAAGAAAAAGAAAGAAAAAAAAGAAGAAAAAAAGAAGAAAAACTAAGAAAAAACGTAAGAACAAAGAAGAACAAAAGAAGGAAAAAAGGAAGAAAAAACCGAAGAAAAAGAAGGAAAAAGAAGGAAAAAGAAGGAAAAAGAAGGAAAAAGAAGGAAAAAGAAGGAAAAAGAAGGAAAAAGAAGGAAAAAGAAGGAAAAAGAAGGAAAAAGAAGGAAAAAGAAGGAAAAAGAAGGAAAAAGAAGGAAAAAGAAGGAAAAAGAAGGAAAAAGAAGGAAAAAGAAGGAAAAAGAAGGAAAAAGAAGGAAAAAGAAGGAAAAAGAAGGAAAAAGAAGGAAAAAGAAGGAAAAAGAAGGAAAAAGAAGGAAAAAGAAGGAAAAAGAAGGAAAAAGAAGGAAAAAGAAGGAAAAAGAAGGAAAAAGAAGGAAAAAGAAGGAAAAAGAAGGAAAAAGAAGAAAAAGAAGGAAAAAGAAGGAAAAGAAGGAAAAAGAAGGAAAAAGAAGGAAAAAGAAGGAAAAAGAAGGAAAAAGAAGGAAAAAGAAGGAAAAGAAGGAAAAAGAAGGAAAAAGAAGGAAAAAGAAGGAAAAAGAAGGAAAAAGAAGGAAAAGAAGGAAAAAGAAGGAAAAAGAAGGAAAAAGAAGGAAAAAGAAGGAAAAAGAAGGAAAAAGAAGGAAAAAGAAGGAAAAAGAAGGAAAAGAAGGAAAAAGAAGGAAAAAGAAGGAAAAAGAAGGAAAAAGAAGGAAAAGAAGGAAAAAGAAGGAAAAAGAAGGAAAAAGAAGGAAAAAGAAGGAAAAAGAAGGAAAAAGAAGGAAAAAGAAGGAAAAAGAAGGAAAAAGAAGGAAAAGAAGGAAAAAGAAGGAAAAAGAAGGAAAAAGAAGGAAAAAGAAGGAAAAAGAAGGAAAAAGAAGGAAAAAGAAGGAAAAGAAGGAAAAAGAAGGAAAAAGAAGGAAAAAGAAGGAAAAAGAAGGAAAAGAAGGAAAAAGAAGGAAAAAGAAGGAAAAAGAAGGAAAAGAAGGAAAAAGAAGGAAAAAGAAGGAAAAAAGAAGGAAAAAGAAGGAAAAAGAAGGAAAAAGAAGGAAAAAGAAGGAAAAGAAGAAAAAGAAGGAAAAGAAGAAAAAAGAAGAAAAAAGAAGAAAAAAGAAGAAAAAAGAAGAAAAAAGAAGAAAAAAGAAGAAAAAAGAAGAAAAAAGAAGAAAAAAGAAGAAAAAAGAAGAAAAAAGAAGAAAAAGAAGAAAAAGAATGAAAAAGAAGAAAAAAGAAAGAAAAAGAAAGAAAAAGAGAAAAAAGAAAAGAAAAAAGAAGAAAAAAGAAGAAAAAAGAAGAAAAAAGAAGAAAAAAGAACTCCCTGTCCAGATGGGCTCTGAATCCCAATAGAAGATTAACTAACTGTCAATCACTGCATAATTAAAAACAATAAAGAAGTACAAGTTCTGAAGACCGAGAAGAGCTGTGCATAGAAGAGAAGTTAATCTGTAAAACCTCATCTTTCAGGCAGCACTGAAATCACACTGAGAACTGCCCAAGGTATTCCTGGTTGGCTGACCTCTGCTCTGAAAAGCACGTGATCTCAGTCTTCTCGCTTTTTACCAAGTACATAAAGAACTCCAAATGGTATTTTGAAGAACCTGTATTATTTATTGATTTGTTAAAAATTTCTATATATAAAAAAATCTCATCCTTACCTTTCTCGTAAAAGAGGTTGAACTCAGGAGACATTTATTAAAGTACTACAATATTGTCAAAAGCAAACATCTTTTTTCTTTACGGTGAAAAGACTTAGTGTCTGGAGCCCTGTTAAAGTACTGAAGGATCAAAACCTCTGCATTTGACAAATACACCTAAAACAATAATACAATTCTGACAGTTGATGATTTATCAGAATTGACTAGATGCATACCTTTTTCTTAATGTGGAATGGGCACTCTCATCATCACCATTTTCTGGAATATTAATTAAGATTTTACTCTGTGAAAAATTTGCATCAGGTTGCTGACAAATCCCCGTTCCTCTTTTATACTTATCTTGGTCAGGAGAGAGAAACAATGAAACCATTTCTAGACTTTCATGCTGAAAATTTATTTTCTCTCTTTCTCCTACACTTAGTTGGAGCATTTCTTTTTCAGAGACTATGCCAAAATGAACAGATGCTGGAGATTTATCATTTACATCCTCAGTGTTACTCTTGCATTGTTGTATAAACTTCTGGTGCTTTATCCCTCCTATGATAGACAATAAATTATTATTTCTATTAATATTCACTCACATTCATATACATACTCATTTCATTAAACATCTTCCACATAGATTTGTTGTAGCCAAGTTCACATATATTACCCGAACTTATTCTCCTATCTTATTGCAAGAACTTTATATTTTATGACCAGTGGACCAGTGCTGACAAGTGCAATACATATCTTGTCAATTAGAAAGTTATAAAAATAGGACTGCTTTCTCTGTTAATTATACAAAGTAATGGAGCAAAGCTATTCCTCAGAACTACACAGTAGATTAAAATTACTTCTAGACAACAGTCACAATTCCTAATGAAGTCAGTGACAGTCAGTTTCATAGGCATCTTAGCTACTGATTGTGATTTGTAGGATTAGTTCTGACTAGGATCAGTATCCTGATCTGACTAGCCATACAAGCAAGAGGCAACAGCAGAAATGAGCAATTGGAAGCAGCTGTATTAAACAGCCTTCACTTAAATTTGCTAATCTTTTAACCATATTCTTACGGTTCAGAGTACATATAAAATTCATTAAGAAAAATACAGTTCATCACCATCCTCTGTTAATTTCAGTGTTATATGTCTAGAAACTTAAAATTACAGTGGCCTGTTTGGTGCTTTCCACAAACACCAAAAAGTTTACTTGAATAAGTAGTTCTTGATGGGATTTGCTCTTGCATATAGTAAGAAAAAAAAACAACTCTATTTTAATACTATAATACCTAAACAGAGAATATTGTAAATCAGCACAGCAGCTAAGAAATGCAGAAATCTAGTTGACAGTGATAAAGCAATGACATGCTTTAAAAAAAAAATCCTTAAGGTTATTATGAATATTTAGATGGATGGCATACTGCACTTAGAAGCAATGAATGACAACCTCCAAATGTTGCCCCTGAACAGCAATTTAGAGGGGAGGAGAAAGAAGTTAGATCCATATAGACTGTCTATGTCTTGATGGGAAACAGGTCATCAGGAGCACATGCTGCACTATGTTCTTGCAGTCGCTTCTCATCTTTCCATCAATCATCATAGCACACAGTGGAGTAGCCAAAATTTTGTCCATACTGCATATGCTGCCCACTTCTGCACAGTGACCTTGTAGCCTTAAAATGCGCAAAAAGGACAGCTAATATTCCAAACCTTTTCTATGAACAAAACGATCACTCTGAACTAAAATATATTATTTGTCTATATTCATATATATACTTCATATTTCACAGCACTAAAATAAAGAGGAGGAATTATCTATCAAGCTAATTATTTGTCAAGTCATGCAGAAAGAACGTCATATATTTTACCCATATGATTGCTGGCTGTGTTTTTTTCCAGCTTCCTCTGCAACTCATTTTTTTTCAGTTCCCTCTGTAACTCTTCTGCTGCTGGAATTTCACCAATAACTGGAGCAGGTGCAATATACCAAAGGTTTGACTCTTCTTTTTCTAGATCTCTCTCTCTAATATAAAAATGCAAGGTATGATCATTCTTTAAGGCTCTCCACATCTAGCTTAAAATTACTAGTCATAAACAACCTACTGTTTCTCCTGCTTAAATAATAATAAAATAATAATAATTAAAAATAATAATAATAATAAAAGAACAACAAAAAAGCTGGTTAATTAGTGTGATTTTTAATCTTTTAATCACAGTAAATTTAAGATGCAAAACTTCTGCTAATCCATATTTCTTATAGCCAGAAGATATACCTGCATTATTCAAACCTCAATATACTTAAAAATGTATATATATATTTCAAAATATGGGTTGGGAACGAGGAAACTTCTAGCCCCAAATGTCTATTAAGAGATAGAAAAGGGAAAAGGAAACAACAACAAAAAAGTTGTAAAATGATTCACAGTCTGAAAGTACTTGGGAAACAATTATATATATTTAACAGTAAAGATTTACCTTTTTTTTGCATCTGGTTTTTCATAAAATAAATTATCCAATGAAAAGACCGTGTCAGAAGAGTTAAACATTTTTAGATCAAATATCAAGTCTTTTAGTCTGTAAAAGACAGCACAAAAACTGTGAAAATGAAATGCCTAGAATTGGACCTGTATAACAAACATAAAGCTCATCAGCGATACAAGTGCCAGTATTTCTTTTCCAGATTTATTTTTGCTTTTAGGGCTCTTGACTGTACCCTTAATGTTGCTTCATAAAGAGAATCTCTCTCATGATAAAATACAGATCCTATTAACTATGACAAAAAAATCCTTCAGGACAGCACTGCAAAAAACCTATATATTACCATGATATGTCAGGAGGGAAAAAAATGTGTAATACTGAAGATTCTGATAGAGATGGTGTTAAATTACTTCATGTCTAAGAATAATGTTGAAATTTGTTTAAACATCTTCAGACTATATTTTCTTTTCTCAAATTGTTTCCATTTTGATGGAAAATACACCATTTGTATATCTGAATCTAATATTTGTATATCTTGGATCTAATTTGGATTAGATGCTGTCATTTTTACAAAATAAATAAATGGTTCTATTATCTAAAAATAATAATAACAATTTGAATTTACAAGCTGATCAGACTGTTTTTTAATCATTTATGCAAATTGCTTACCTGGACAATTGGACTATGGACTCAACTCCCTAATGTTAATGGAAGATTCTGAAACATCAGGACCAGAGATTACTGGTTTTAAACATACACATTAATAAAAGTATTATTAATTTAGCACCAACTCTAGGCATTAGGTGTGTTTGCTTTATGTGGTTGCATTGAGGAGTTCCATAGCTCTTAATTTTGCTTAAGGATGGATTCAAAAATCAAAATTCTTACTAAAAGAATGCCACAGAAAGGATCTGAGAGTCAAAATCTTAGGTTCAATGAAATAAATAGTAAAATACTAAATCAAATTCAACATTTCAAAAATCCCAATAAATGAAAAATCCAGGGATAGATAAACCTACAGCAAACCCATATTCCTTACCTACAGAGATAAAGACAACACATTTTTTTTGCTCCAGCATTTCATCAGTAACATGAAAAAAAAAAAACCTTTTAGAGTGCATTGCAATAGAATTCAGGTTTGCTTAATTACTGTATACTGTCACTTGTGAATCAAAATTTAAAAAACATTTTTCTTCCACAGAGCTGTAAAACTTCAAAAATTCCATAGAAATGTTTCAAATTTAAAACAGAAAACATTTCACAAAATGAGCAGAATATAATGAAGAGCATATAATCAGAACTGTGACTACAGTGAGGAAGATGGATTCTAGAATTTCAAACAAACAAACAAAAAGTCAATGCACCCTTTACAGTCCCTGTCAGAGCAAGTCTGTAACACTGCTGCAAATCTTTGCCATTCCCCAACACCAGACTTCGCCATTTTTCCCAACTCTACCAGCAAAGCTGACTCCAGAAGGACCAGTATTAGAAAAAACTCTAATCTAACAAAGCTGGTTAATTCCGCCACCATTCTATGGCACACTTTAAATGCCTGTAATCTAAAGCAGGAGTTGTCTGTTTGGGGTATCAGTACTGGCAGCAGAAAGCATCCCTCAGTCCCATCAAGTTGCAGCTACTCAGGCAGTAATCATCTGTGTAAAGGGCCACTGAAGAATTAACAACCGTTCCACCAGCTCTAAGGAACAGTAAGCACTATACACCAGCATGAAATGGTTTTCATACCTCAAGTAGAGAATCTACAAACTATGGTTACACAACACCATTTACATATTTTGTCTTTATGCTTTCCACCCTCAAGCAGTCTTTGTTATTCATGATATTTCAACTCACGGGCCCTGCAGGCCCCTACTCTGTACAAATACTTTATTCTTTGACTGACTTCCTTAATTCCAATTGTTTTATGGCTTAAATGAAAATGATACAACATGCCATGGTCATCCCAAGAGACTGAAAAATTCTGGTTTAACACTCCTTTATGCAGTTTTGTATTTGTCCACAGGCTGTCAATTAGGACACTCCCCTCAGAATCCTGAACCATGAAACTGTGAAAAGTCTCTGGCTTTTCTACCTTAAAATAAATAAATAAATAAATAAATAATAAAAGGTCTCCAAGAACATTTTTTTCATACAATTTTTTATATACACTGTTTGATAGCACAGGGAAAATGCATATTCAAGACAGCATAATGAGATGTGTAGGTGTTTGCAGGAACAGCAGCAAATATTAATTAACAAATAGATGTTTGTCAGCCCCTGTAAGGAAAGACCTCTTGTGCATCAACTTTAAGAAACAGCTTACTATGGGCGCGTGGGGTTTCCTTATTTTAAGTTTCCCTCCTAAAACCCAGCCCTCTCCTCAGACCACAGCGTTCACCTCAGCCTACTCTCTAGGCGGCGCCAAGTGAAGGTCTCCACTTCCAGGGACACCGACCCAAACAAACTGAAACCGCTCTCTCCCAGACATGGACCAGGCGCCCCGGAGGGGCAGAGGTCAACCCCCCTCACAGCGCTCCCAAGCCCCCAGCCACGCTCCCTCTCCCCAGGAGCGAGAACCTGTCAGAGCGCAGCCCGCCACCCCGCACAAAATGGCGGCAGCTGAGCGGCCGACAGTCTGGCCGCGGCGGGTGCTCGCTCCAGCTCGCGGAGACATCGCCCCCCGTGTCCCCCCCGGGCCTCCAGCAGGGCGGGCAGCGGCAGTACCCGCCCGGCCGTGTCCCAGCACCGCCGCGGGGAAGTCTAGGTCCTGCTGCAGCCCCACACGGGCCGGCAGCGGACAGCTCCTCTCAGCCTCGGCGGGGGCTGCGGTTTCCCGCTGGTACGAAATGGCAGGCCCTGGGCCCGCTCAGACAGGATTGGCCGCGTTCTGAGGTGCGGCCCGACCGGTACCTCATGCGGTACCCACGTGTAACCAATGGCACAGGATGAGGCTAAATTCTCCTTGAAACGGCAAAAAAAAAAAAAGAATGTTGCACGCTGCTGGTGCCAGATTTATGTCTTGTCCAAAGACAGATTTATCTGGAATTATTCTCTCATCAAGAAGTCCTTACTCTTACCCTGGTATAAATTAAAATAGGCGGCTGATTTCTGCACCATATGACTGCATTATCAAAAGGATTCCTACAGGCTACAGAAATTTATAAATAAACGAAAATATTGATCCTTGAAATATTTTCTAGTGGATTTCCAAAACCCATTCATATACATACTTGCTGCTGCACTAGAACAACAAAAGTGCCTCAAACAACTTACATGAGTTGAAACAGTATCATGTAAAGTTTTAGAAAATGCAGAAGTAGGTTGCTATTATTTTTTCACAGAAATATTGCAACTTACAATTCTGGACTTGCCATTAGAACGTAGCTTTTGAACTAGTAAATTTAAAATAAATTGCAGAACTGTCTCAGAAAGACTAAATTTTAAGCTGGTTCAAAGCTTCATGACATTCAACAAATACTATAGAGGCAGCTACTGTAGATATGTATTTCCTCATACATAAATAGATGAAAAGGAGACATAAGATTTTCTCAAATATTGATTTTAACATAAATAATTTCTACTTAATCAACTTTTTTTTTCTTGAAAATATTAATTTTTAACTTGCCATTTCAAATTCTTAGACACTGTATGTTTACATAGCATAAGTATATTCTCTAATACTACGTAAGCCCAGGTGAACTAAATACGTGCAGGAAAGGTTATATTCCTTTTAATAATTCTATGTATATGAGTTTTTCCTTTATTATTAGTTATTACCTATTATTTGATTCATATCAAAACCGTGTCATATTACAGTATGCCAAAATTTACACCACGTGTTTAGATGCTTTAATCCACCTCCCTATCTAATTACTGGGCAGAGAGCCAAGCGTAAGAAGCATTTCATTCCTACTTCCAACATGACAGGATCTTGGCCAGCACAGAATAATAATAATAATAACTTTAAAAAAAAAAAAAAAGATTTTAAGATAAACAGCTTAAAATACAATCAGGATTGCTAATGAACCCACTGTCTGAGATTAAATTTTAAATATAATATTATTCACTAATTTAAATAAAAACGAAGGAAATTTTGAGGACAACTCATTTTATGCCTATAAATTCTGAAACCAGAAAGCATTTTTACTTCTTACAATTAGAGAATGCCTTCTTCAATTCTGTCCTGAGGCAAATTTCCATCTTAGTTCACAACATCTGCTTTTAGCTGACCAGACTTTAAAGTTTAAAGTGATAAAATAAACAGTTCATTTTTTAAAGCTATTTTTTCTTCAATTCCCTTCCCTAGGTGACATCTCCCTCAACACACACACACAAATCACATAAAATATATAGCAAAGCAGTCTCTCAACAGCTCTGAGACAATTTAATTTTTGATTTCCCCCAAGCCTAACATCTGATCTTCCATATGTTTTGAGTCTTTCCAGATCATAGAGATCACATACTAAGGCATAAAACTCTGTGTTCTGGAGAAACACAACTAGAAAATCAAGAACACCAGACACTGGTCAGTGATCCATATGATAGCAGAATAATTTTCATACTTACTAGATACAAATCTATTAGAAGCTTCAGTTTTCTCCAGAACTTACAAATTGAGCAAATCAGCTATGAACAAATTAAATGCAGAAAAGTGTCAAGATACAAGTAGGATGACAATTGTCATTGTCATCTCTTAGTTTCCTTTGTTCGGCTTTATACACAATTTCAGAGATGTGACAACAAAGCACTGGTCTCTAAAATATGCCCTACCCCATAACTGAAATCACTCTGAAGTATTAGGAGGTCTTAAAATCACAGGCAACCCTTAAACTCTATTATTTTTACTGTATGCTTGAGATTGTGACGATGATTCATTTATTAAAGAAAGTATTGTAAGATTCACAATTAGAAATATATATATATTTGCAGTTATCACCTCTTTTTTAGTCACAGACAGGAAATAAAAAGCACAAACTAGATTGCCTAGATGAGGAAAAAGCAGAGGTGAATTTCTTCCATTTTGTCTTGTTGAATTGCACTTACAGACTTGGCCCTGATGTTGCACCCTTGCAAAAACCTAAACATGTGAATAACTTAAC